GGATGCCGCCAATGATGGGAAGCTCACCACCACAAATCTGAGGCCCGTTACCACAGGCAGGCTGTGAACTCCAAGATTGAACTGAAAAGGCTTTATGTGGCCTGGATCACCTTAAAATCATAGCCGGCTGGGAAGGGTGGCTCAATTGGGCAACATCAAGAGACCCCATCTCTACTAAAAAATTTTTAAACAATTAGCCAGGCATGGTGTTGATTGCCTATAGTCCCAGCTACTTGGGAGGCTGAGGTGGGAGAATCATTTGAGCCTAGGAGGTCAAGGCTGCAGTGAGCAGTGACCGTGCCTCTGAGCCCCAGTCTGGGCAACAGCGTGAAACCCTCTCAAGCAAGTAATAAAAAATAAACTCACAGCCCAAACCAGATCCTTTCCCCCACCGGAGTTAAACCAGATCTGTACCTGAGAGAGGCACTGTGGGAGCGGGGAACCCACAAGGTTCTGAACTGGAAATCCCTGTTCCAATCTTGACGCTATGATTCACCAGCTGGGTGGCCTGGCCAGTTGCCTCCACCACTCCGTGCTTGATTTTCCCTGCCTGTAACTGAGATCTGTGATATTGGGCTGTCCAATACAACAGCCACCAGTCAGAGGAAGGCAACTGAGACTCACGATGTGGGTGGTGCAACTGAGGAGCTCAACTTTCAATTTTATTTAATTAATTTAAGTTAAAATTTAAAACCTGAAGCAGTACACTTTTTTTTTTTTTTTTCTCAGACAGAGTTTCGCTCTTGTAACCTGGGCTGGAGTGCAGTGACGCAGTCTTGGCTCACTGCAACCTCTGCCTCCCAGGTTCAATCAATTCTCCTGCCTCAGCCTCCTGAGTAGCTGGAACTATAGGCATGTGCCACCACACCCTGCTAGTTTTTAGTATTTTTAGTATAGATGGGATTTCACCATGTTGTTCAGGCTGGTGTTGAACTCCTGACCTCAGGTGATCTGCCCACCTTGGCCTCCCAAATTGCTGAGATTCAGGCGTGAGCCACTGCGCATGGCCTAAAAATTTTTATACCTATACATATTGAAATGATCATATTTGGGATAAACCGGGTTAAATAAAATATTAAACTTAATTTCACCAAAAAACTAATTTTACCTGTTTGTTTTTAATTTTTTAATATGGCTACCAGAAAATTATAAATTATAAATGTGGCTTGCAGTGGAACGCCACAGTGCTGCACTCAGAAGGTTATTTAAAGATCCAGTGAGCTGGGTGTTCAGGTGTGTGGGGAACAGTTGAATCCCAGAGGGATGATGGCTTCTGAGGCTACCACGTCCTCCAGGAGCTGTGTTCTCCAACACACAAGAAGACAGGCTCAATCTAGAAAGGAACAGGCAATTTTAAGGACTGTTACAAAGAAAACAGAGCCAGGCACAGTGGCTCACGCTTGTAATCCCAGCGCTTTGGGAGGCCTAGGCAGGCAGATCACCTGAGGTCGGGAGTTCAAGACTAGCCTGACCAACATGCAGAAACCCTATCTTTACTAAAAATGCAAAATCAGCTGGGTGTGGTGGCACACGCCTGTTAATCCCAGCCACTTGGGAGGCTGAGGCAGGAGAATCACTTGAACCTGGGAGGTTCAGGTTGCAGTGAGCTGATCACACCATTGCACTCCAGCCTGGGCGACAAGAGTAAAACTCCATCTCAAAAAAAAATTACCCATAACACCCAAAGATAACAGTTAAACTACCTATAGAGTTTGCTTGCTTCTGTGCCTGTCTGTGTGACCTGGTCTCCCGACCACCACTGGGCCCCAGCTGTAAGTTGTCATAAAAGTCACTTTAACAGCTTGGCCCTGAAGCATGGGACCTCCAGGAGCCCGAGCGGGAAGGAACCCCTCCGAAAGCCAAAGGGCAAGGCCTTACACCTCCTTTCTGTGCCTGTGAGCTCCGCGTGGAAGCCATGCCCTCTGCATACCCGGCTCCCATTCTTCTCGGCCTCCACCCTCCGCTGCAGTGGCCCTGGCACTCCAGGGAGGCTGGCCTGCGCTGCCAGCTGTCAGCAGCAGTTCCCGTGGCTGCTCACGTCTCCCTTCCACCATCTTCGGGGAGGGAGGGAGGAGGCGCCAGCACAGAACAGCCTGGGTCCCAGGATTCTCTGCAGTTTGTCCATGGGCGCTCTCCTGTACAGAGCTGATGGGGGCCCCAGGGTGGGGCCGGGGTCCCTCTCACTCTTTCTAGAATCTCAGGGATCCTTCTTGCTCTTTCTAGAATCTACACTCCCTCCCACATCTCAGTCTGCCCCTGCTTTGGCGTCACCCTGATGTCGGGCCTCTTCTTCCTCAGGGGAGCCTTCTTAGGGGGCTTTATCCTTTTCTGAAACCCGGTCTTCATGCGCACCCCACTCCACACAGTCCCTTAGACACGTCTGTGTGCCTCGACCATAGATCCAGAGCGGGCCTCCATCCCAGGAGAGGCCAGGGCTCGCTGCAGGGACGCAAACCATCTGGTAACTTGCTTTTTCACTTAGCACTGAATTAGAACATCTTTGCAGGGATGCGATCACTCCTGATGCCTGCTCCGCCATCCCTTTCTATCTAAACTACGTTGGTGATTTCTTAGGTTGGCCCCAGGTTTTTGTTCTTACAAATGCCACTTCAGTGACCCACCCAGGACACTGTGTTTACTTTTATCTTCTCAAATCTAAGGAATTGTTAGTTCTCCCGTCTAGACATCCGGCAAATTCTGCTGCCTGAGTTGAGCTAAAGCGCCACTAGGCCCGGTGGCTCCCCAGTCCCCCTGACCTGGCACTGAAGGCCACCCTACTCCTGAGCTCAGTCTATCTTCTCTGTCCCTTCTATCACCAATCTAGCACCAATCCACAGACATCACCTGAGCCCTGACCACATTGAACAGCACAGTGCCCTCACACTTTCCAGCCTCCCTTCCGCCTTCTGTTGTCACACTGCTGGACATGTCTGCCCCATCTCCAAATCCTCTCTCATGTCCAAGAGCCAGCTCAAATGCCGCCTCCTCCAGGGAGCCCTTCCTGACTTTCTAGCTAGAAGTGACTCCCCCTTCTCTGAATAAAGACAGCATTTCCTTGTCCCCCCTTCCCTTGGGGTCCTGATGTTCCCACCTAGTCCAGGGGCCACTTGAGCGTGCTTGTGGCCCAGCACCCTTTCTGTCTCCCTCCCCACTCCCTGGCAGATTGGGAGCTCCTTGACGTCAGGGACAGGTTCTGATTTCTTCCTGTGGGCACAGGGCATGGCACGGAGTGGGCATTTGCGAAAGGTTTGAACACACATGAATGGAGGAGGACAGGCCTGGAGTCAGGCCCTAAGTTCTGGTCCAGCTGGGCACTGCTGTCCTGTGTGACCTCAGGCAGGGCCTGTTCTTGGGGGGTATGGCCTTCCTATGGCCTGAGACAGCTGGACCCCACTGTGGGGGGTTCTGTGGCGGTGGGAGGACTGTTTGGCCCTGGGCTGATGTGCCGGCCCTGCCTGGGATCATCTCTGTCTTGGATAATGATTGCAGGGCAGCCCCCATTTCCTCTGGCTGCACAATCCCATTACGAGCCCTTCAGGATTTATGTCTAAGACCCACCCTAAGCCCATCACTAACATATGGCATCCTGGCAGATGAGGATGAACAGAGATTGTAAATACTCATTCATTCATTCATTCATTCACTCCTTCACTCAGCAGACTGCTACCAAACTGTGGACCCAGCATTGAATCAGAACCCGGCCCAACCCTGGAGATGCTTCCAGTAAAAAGTCTGCAGTCCAGTGAGGTGGGGACAGGGACAATGGGAGGCACAGGGACTGTGGAATGAGAGAAGGAGGTTTCACTCAGCCTAGTGGTCAGAGAAGGCTTCCTGGAGGAGGGGACACTCAAATTGTGTCTTACCAGAAGAGTAAGCATTGTGCCAGTGAGCAGGCAGGGCAGGGCCCTCACAGGCGGTGGCTCCCACCGGGGAAGGGGGCTGGCGTTCGAGCTCAGCCTGGGGCTGGATGCTGCTACGTGGTCTAATGATAAGAGGAGCGTGGCTGGGGATTATCTGCTCTTGTTTACATGATTAAAACCAGACAAATACTTCTTCATCTGAAAAAATGAAAGGGCTTTGGGGAAAAATCCTTTTGGCAACAAAGCAAAGCACAGGCATTTCCTTAATTAATCTCTCACTCCCCCCACACCCCTCACCATCCCACACCCCCCACAACAGCTGCAAGAAGAGGCGCTCTGGGCTTCCAGGGCTCCGGGGCTGACCTGCACTGGTGGGCAGAGAACCCAGGCCAGGGTGGCCAGGGTGGGGAGAAGCCGAGAGGAGAGAGACCCACAAGCCCTCTCAACACAGCCTCCCATGATGGAGAGTCTGGGCCCAGGTGTGAACCCAAGATGGCCCCATTTTACAGATGGAGATCCTGAGGCCCAAAGATGGGGGAGTGACTTGCTTGCCTGAGGTCACACAGCCGGTTGGCAGAGCTGGGACCCAGGTCACCAGCCCACAGCCCAGTACTGTCACTCCCTCACGAGCTCATACGGGAGCCTGCAGGAACCATCTGCAGTATCATCCACTAGGAACTCACAGGGAAGTCAGACCCATCCCTCCTCTCACCAACAGACAGGCAGGCTCCTGATGGAGCAGCCAGGGGCTGTGGAAACCCTGGAATGGGCTCCTCATGCTGGGGGAAAGGCAGGTACACCCCAGAGGTGGCCCAAGCTTGGTCCTGCCTTGGGGGCAAGGGTCAGGCGAGTGAAGGAAGCTTCTGAGAGGACACCAAGCATGGGAAATGGCAAGCACAGAGGCCTCAAGGTACAGATCCCACCCGCATAACCCCCCCCACCTCTGTGCCCTGGGGCATGGGAAGAGGGCAGAGCAGAAAGAGAGGCTGAAAGGAGCCCAGAACTGGATTATTGGGGGAATGGGGCTCCCTGGAGCACTGTAAGGCAGCTGGGCATGGCCAGGAGAGGCTGAGTGAGCTCTGAGTGCCTGGCCAGACCCCAGCCTCCCCACCACAGCCCCTGACCCCCTCACTCTCCCAGCTTGATGTCCGGCCTCGCCTCCCTGGACCCCAAGACCTCCAGCCGCCTGGGCATCCTCACCGTGGCGTACTACCTGTGGACCACCTTCATGGCCGTCGTCGTGGGCATCTTCATGGTCTCCGTCATCCACCCCGGCAGCGCGGCCCAGAAGGAGACCGCGGAGCAGAGCGGGAAGCCCGTCATGAGCTCGGCTGATGCCCTGCTGGACCTCATCCGGTAACGATGGCCACCAACACACTGCTCGGGAACGCCAGGCCCGAGCCTGCCCTGCCAGGACCCCCAGAGGCCAGGATGGGGTGTGGGGATGCGGGTGCTCGGGTCTGCTTTTGAGAACTCCTAGTGATGAGCGAGGCAGACACGGAGGCCATGATCACCCTGGTGGGTTGAGATTCTCTGGGCTGCCTGCCGGGCTCACGCTGCATTGTCTGCCCCACCAGGCTGGAAACACCTTGTGGACTTGCAGGGTCTGCGCCTCTCTGCCTGTGGCTGGGTGTGGAGCAGGCATCTGCGAGCATTTGCTGGTGCCCAGCCTGGAGGGTGGGAGACCAGTGGTTATTGGCCCCCCCACCCTTTCTTTATTGGTCCTCTGTTTACAGATGAGGAAATGGGGCTCAAAAAGGTGCTGTGACTTTTCCAGAGTCACCAGTAGGTAGGTAGCGGAGATACAATTCAACCTTGGCCTGTCTGACTCCAAGGACAGTGTCCTTTGCCCTGCGGCGCATGCCCTAGCCACGGCAGTGCTGCTGACCTTGCTTCTCAGACCCAGGCTCCCTCTCCAGGGAAGCACTGCACACCCAGAGGCACAGCCGCCTCCCATTCCCTTTCCCCAGGTTCCCTGCAGGCCACCCCTGCTCCTCTCCTTCCTGCATTCACCCCTCACCAGTGCGAGCTCTGTGCCAGGCCCTGGACCCGGGGACTCAGAGCCAGCCCTTGCCCTGGAAGAGTGGAAAGCGTCTCGCAAAAAAGAAAGACCCGCAAGTAGACAGGGACCAATGGGGGCCTGGGGCTGCCGGTGGAAGCAGGAGCCACTGCCCTTCTAAGGCAGGGGAAGGCGGGGAGGCGGGGAGGGCAGGCCTGGGGTGACAGAGAGGCGGGAAGGTCCTGAGCTGCAGGAAGCATGTCGGGAAGAAGCCATAGCCCTTCTGTGTGAGAGAGCAGAAGGGGCGAGAGGTGGGCAGAAACGCCACTGGAGAATTCAGGTGGTGACAGATCTCAAAGGGCACCATGAACCGGGCCAAAAGGCCACAGGAAATGGGTTTTAAAAGAGGAGCAGCATGATCCAATGCTGAGGGCTCACTCTGGCCAGGGGTCAGTGTTGGTGGGAGGTTAGAGGGGAAGGCAGAGCCAGGGACAGGGCCAAGTGGTAGCCCTGAGGATGAGAGAGGGGGCAGATGGCAGGGCTGCTCGGGAGGGAGCCTCAGCAGGAGGTAGGCGAGACGAAGGTGGGGTTTGTGCTGATCACCCAGCGTGAAGGTTTCGGTCCATGCATCCAGGTGGATGGTGGTCACCAGCGGTAGATGGTCTGGAGTAGGCACAGGCATCCCGGGGGAGATGTCCACTCATGGTCGGCCAGTGGATGTGAGTCTTATGGGGGAGTCTAAGCTGGAGATAGAGGTTTGGAAATCACCAGGGAGAGGTGTTAGGTGCAACCCTGGTGGCAGAGGGGCTCTGGCAGGACAGGTGGTGAGAGAGCAGGGGCTGGGATGGAGCCCGGGAAGCCCCACCCGGGAATGGTCTGCTGGGCTCCACAGGCTACCCCCGGGGAGCACTGGAAGGCTCAGGGAATGCCTTTTAGTGCCTCTCACTTTCCAGTCAATTTCAGATCTAAGAAGTCTAGGCCTAACATTAAAACTACAGACACATGCAGTTTAGACTGACTATGTCCTAGCCTTTTGGGTCTGAGACTGGGAAAGCTGCAGTGGGAAGAGGGTCACGGTGAGTTTGTTTCTCTCTCCTGCTCCACCTGCTCCCTGGTGAGAGGTGAGGAAATGGGCCAGGAAGGGCCGCGCAGATTCAGAGTGGGGTGAGCTGGAGCAGGTGCTCCCTGGTCATGTCTCTCCAGGAGCACTGCTGTGGGTTCTCCGGCGCTCCTCTCGCGTCTCTCACCTGCTGTTCCCTGGACTCAGGCAATCTCTGTTCCATCTGACTACTTACAATGTCCTCCCTCTACCTGAGCTCTGGTTGACTCCTCTGCTGGGGCCACCTCACCCCTCTGGGTGACCCTATTGAGTCATATCTGGCCCATGGGATGCATACATACCCCTGTTGGAAGTGCTGGCCTTTCCCAGGGCCTTTGGACATGAGTCAGGCACCAGCCCCTACATTCCTCAAATCCTGGGAGACTCAAGCCAAGGTCTCTCAATAGTTCTCTTGGCTTAAATTTGTGGAGAAGCATTCCTTTCCTCTCCCATGGGGACAGATGCCTGCACACAGGCTCCCACCCACTCTCGAAAGAAACTCTCATTCCCTGTATTAGCTAGTTACTGCTATGTAACAAACAAGCCCAACACTTATCAGCTTAAAATGACAGCTACAAGTCTACAGGTCAGCTGGAAAGTTCTGCTGATTTGGACTGAGCTCACTCATGTGTTTGCAGGCTGCTGGTGGCTCAACCAGCCAGATGGAACAGAGATTGCCTGAGTCCAGGGGACAGCAGATGAGAGATGCAAGAGAGAGAGGAGGGGCTTCAGAAAACCCACAGAAGTGGTTGGTCTGGGGGTGTCTTGGCTGAGATGATTCAGTTACACTCTTTGCGATCTTTGTACTCCAGCAGGCCAACCTAGATTTCATGGTGGTGACAGGACTTCAGGAGAGAGCTAGCCTAGGCTTTTTTTTTTTTTTTTTTTTGAGATGGAGTCTCACTCTATTGCCCTGGCTGGAGTGTAGTGGTACAATCTTGGCTCACTGCAACCTTCACCTCCCAGGTTCAATCAATTCTCCTGCCTCAGCCTCCTGAGTAGGTGGGATTATAGGCTCCCACCACTACGCCCAGCTAATTTTTTTTTATTTTTAGTAGAGACAGGGTTTTACTATGTTGGCCAGGCTGGTCTCGAACTCCTGACCTCATGATTCACTCATCTCGACCTCCCAGAGTGCTAGGATTATAGGCGTGAGCCACCATGCCCAGCCACATTTTTTTTTTTTTTAATGTAACGAAGATGGAGGAACAAGAGAGGAAATCAAAACATGCAAATGTCTCTTAAGCCTCTGCTTTCAGCAAGTCCGCTAATGTCCTCTTCTCTTAGCCAAAGCAAGTCAGGTGACCAACCCCAGACTCACGGTGGGAAGGGGCCACCCTGAAGTTCCAAGGCAAATGGAGTCTAGACACTGGGGCCATCAATGCAGTCAGTCTCCCACTCCCTTCATTCCTCCAGGAGAATCTTCAGCTTCTCTCTTACCCTTTAGAGCAGGCGTCCCCAAACTTTTTACACAGGGGGCCAGTTCACTGTCCCTCAGACCGTTAGAGGGCCGCCACATACTGTGCTCCTCTCACTGACCACCAATGAAAGAGGTGCCCCTTCCTGAAGTGCGGCGGGGGGCCGGATAAATGGCCTCAGGGGGCCGCATGTGGCCCGTGGGCCACAGTTTGGGGACACCTGCTTTAGAGTGTATGATGAACTAAGGATCATTAAAATACTTGCCATGCTGTTCCTATTGCGTGGCTGTCACCTGTAGGGTCTGGAGCCAGAAAGAGGCCCAGGTAAGTCTGTTCCGGTGTGCTGACTTGGCTGGCAAGACTTCACTCAGTACCAGGGCTTTGAACACCTTCTGGACTCTGGAAACCTCTCGCCTGAGTTCCGGATTCTCACAGAAAGTGTCTGGAGGCATCTCACAGGTGACAGGCCCAGGCTCAACTCTGGATTTCTCTAAAAAACCTTCCCTTTTCTCAGCGCTACCCATCTTGGTCTGACAGCTCTCATCCTCTCACACCCTGCGGCCAGTTCCTCAGCAAATCCTGTGAGCTCTACCTTGAAAACCAAATGCCAGACCATGGCCCTGCCGCCTCCCCTGCCTCTCCAGCCACGGACACCCCGGTGTCCAGCCTGGCCGCGCTTCCTCTCTGCTTCCTGTGGTCTGTTCTCAGCACTGCAGCCAGAGGCATCCTTTTCAAAATCTGCTCACAACGCAGCATATGGCGACAAAGTCACAGCCTGCACTGTGGCTTACAGGCCCTTGCTGACGCACTTCAGCCTCTGACCTCCGCCCCCACTCTCCCCTTCCCTGCCCTGGCTCCAGCCCCACCCACCTCGCTGTCCTTCCCATCTGGGTGTCATTGCTACCTCTCTGGGTGGCCCTTGCTGCAGAAAGTGTGCACCTCTTTGCCTCACTCCATTTACATCTGTCCTGGGTGTCACCTCTCCTGGGGCCTCCCAGGTTTTGTCTCTCTGCCGTCCTCCCTTGCATCATTTTTCCTCATCACCCTTATTACCACCCAACGTGATCACATCTGTGTGTTCCTTTCTTTTTCTCCCACCTCCCCTGGAATGCCACATGCCCTGTGAAGCCTGGCTCTTTAACATCTGTTCCCTGCTGTATCCTGGAGCCTAGAACAGCACCTGGCACTGAATGGGTGCACAGAGCTTGCTGAATGCACACGTGGGGTTCAGGGACATCAGTGGAGTTGGGGTCTGAAGCCCCAGGAGGAGCTGGGATGGCCCAGGGAGAATGCGCCCAGCGAGCAGGTGCAGAGGCCTGGGGCGGGCCTTGACTCACGGCTGCACTGAGGGTTTCGCACAGCAAACAGAGCGGGGCGAGCAGAGCGGCAGGCGGAGAACTGGGAGAATGAGCTCCTGGAAGCCCAGGAAAGAGGAACCTCGTCTCCAAGACCCATTATTTCTGGGGTTTGGTAACCGTGATTCATGGTTTCTTGGGTCTTATGATTCAGAATGGCTTCCCCACGTGGGGGAAGGAGTTGTCGGTCTGCCCTCCTCACCACTGCCTGCCCTGCTCAGGGCTGCGCGGCTCCGGATCAGATACACGTGTCACAGTCAAATGTTCCAGAGTGTTTCCCGCTCTTGGTTGCTTTTCTGTGGTGAAAATTGATCCTGCTGCTTCGAGCCCCCGCCCCAGCCCTACCCAACCGCTCTCAACCCTGAGGCGAGTTGTTCTCACAGCTGGGTGTCGGGCCTCGCTCTCCCAGTTTCTTGGTCAGGGAGCCAGGCTACAGGGAGAGAACGCAGGCATCCTGGGAGAGGGAGCCAGAACCTACGAGACCTCTGGCTTCAGCTCTACTCTGACAAGAATAAGTCACTGTGTGACCCTGGGCAGGCCAGTTCCCCACTGTAGGCCTCAGTTTCCCCAGTGATTTTTAAAATCCCATCTAGCTCTGTGGTTCTGAAACACCAAGGCCTATGAGCCAGTGAGGAGGCTGCAGGGCGTGAGCCGAAGCTTCTGGAGGTGGGTTCTGGGAAATGAGGTTGGAGGGCTGGGCAGAGCCCAGCCTGGAAGTCAGGGAGCCCAGGTTAAGGAGCTGGCTGTTAGGCTTTCGGAGTGGGAAGCTGGTGGGTTTGGAGAAGGATGGATTCGAGCAGGCTGGAGGGGACGGAAGGTGAGCAGAGGCACCTGGCCTGGGAAGGGCACGGTCATTTCGGTTACATTCAGCTCCCCCGTATTCAGCTACTGCTCTGGGTGAAGACATTGTGCTGGGACCTGGGGAGCAAGTACAAGTCCCCCCAACCCCCGCCCAGGGCCGCCAACCCTCTCAGGACAGACAGACAAGTGGGTCCACTGACGGCCACTCCTGGTACTCTGAGGGGCTGCGAAGGAGATGGGGACACTGGCAGTGAGGGCCGCACTGCTGACCTTTGCCCTGGCCCAGAGCTTGTGCCTAGCAGGTGCTGATGACCGAACGAAAACAGACCAGGCAGAGAACCAAGAACCAGGGCGAGTGGGACAAGTGAGGACACCTCAGGGCAAAGATCTGCGTCCATGCCTCAAAGATGATTCCAGAGGAACACAACAGGCTGCGTCCCTGGATGACCTGCCCAGACAGGAATTCATTTTCCAGGGCTCCAGGCCGGAGGGGCGGGGGTCTCCAGAACGCTGGCACCCGCTCACAGCACAGCGCGCAAAACAGAAACCCAAGCAGAGCGCTAATCAAAGCTGGCCCCTTCTCTTTTTTTTCCCAATCTTATTAAAACACCACAGAGATTAAGTAATGACTTGGCTCTATTTATAGCTCCCAGCTACCCTCTTAGGGATTGGAAGAAGCTTCCGGGCTGTGCTTGGGAAGGATCAATTCCCACCTTTAGGGCTTGATTTGGGGACATATTATTAGGAGTGGGATGGGACGATCTCAGTGAGAATTTGCAAGTAGCAAGTCCAGAGGGGAGCTGAGAGGTGGGCTCTGGTCCTACCTGGAAGATGTGCAGGGGGGCACAGGGCAGAGTGTGTAGGCATTTGATAGGCATGGCTACTAATGTCCCCAGGCACATTCTGTCTGTGGTTTATGTAGCCGCCACCAGGAGCACGGACCTCATGGGACAAGCAGAAAAGTCTCCCCGTAAAGGCTCCAAGACAAGAGAAAATGTACATTTCCCCATTTAATAATCAAAGGTATACTTCTTGATTAAAATCTGCAGGATAAAATCATTGGTTATTATCATGAGCATACACGAGGCAGGACTTGCTTTTGGCTGCCCGATCAGCAGAGGCTTTGGCAAGGTGAAGTCTTGCATTTGCTCCTGAAGAGCAGACCAGAAGTGGGAGGTGGGCAGCTGGCAGTCACGAGTCCCCTGCCCCGTCCACCTGTGTGCTCTGCCATGCTTAGCGCCTGGCTTTCATCTGAGTCTCATGGTCCATGAAGGCTGCTCAAGCTCTAGCTATTATCTCCAGGCGGAAAGAAGAAAGTTGGAGGAACAGACCAGAGTCCTGGCTGAACAGGCGCCTCCTCGAGAGTTTTCCAGGAATCACCACCCAGCAACTTCCACTCACCTCTCGATGGCCACCTCATTAGTAAGAGAGGCCGGGAATCAGGGCTTGGTGGCAGGTCCCATTTGGTCCCCACAGCATAACAGGACTTCTCTTAAGGAAGGACAGGGGAATGGAGACTATGTGGGCAGCTGGCTGTCCCTGCCAGGGCCCACGGTTAAAATTATTGTCGTTGTAAAGAAATGTCTACACTAGGTATAAGTTCCATTTGGCTTCTTCCCACCTTTCAAATGTTCTCCACGTGTGTGTGAGCTGAGTCTTGAATGGAGGAAGAGATGCTGAGGACGAGCATGAGGAGGAGGAGCCAGGTGGAGGCAGTGTGAGTGCAGGGTGGCAGGCTGGAGGAACAGCCGGCACACAACCGACACGTCCTAGCAGCTGCTAACCTCAGAGTTTGCTTTTCTCACAATCCTCTTCTAGGGAGAAGGGGATTGCGAAGACAAAGACACAAATGCTTTTAGAGAAAGGTGGCCGCCGGGACTGTGTGAGGGTGCCCATCTCACCAAACCTCCCACACTGCACACTGTGGTTTTAAAAATGCTTTGTCAGTATTTTTAAATGGAAATATCTTGAATTTGTTGAACAGGTGGAACTAGCTTGAATTTGTTGATGAAACTAAACATTTTTAAAAGCCTTTTTGGCCATTGGCTTTTATTCTTTTGTAACACGAATTGCCTGGTCCTATCTTTCCACCGTTTTCCTGTCGAGTTTTTGTGGTCCATTGGTTTACGCAGCAAATATTTACTGAGTGCCTGTTATGTGTTAAGAACTCTTCCCAATGCTGGGGACACAGCAGTGAACAAACACAGAGTTTCTGTCCTCCACGGAGCTGATATTCTGATGAGAGGAGCTAGAGAACGCAGAAACCGGGCCAAGATTTGTGAACACTCTTCGTAGATTTAGGATGGTAGAGCTTGGTCACACAGCCTCCCCATCTCGTCACTTGCTTTGTGGTTTTATTTGTATTGCAATATGTCTTAGAGAGCTTAAGCATATCAGCTTTTCATTTTAGCATAGTTTTAGGTTTACAGAAAAGTTGTAGACAGTACAGAGAGATCCCACACACCCTTCACTCGGCCTCCCCTGATGTCAGCAGCTTACGTAACTATGGTAATGTTTGTCAAAGCTGAGAAATTAAATTGGTACAACACTATTAACTAAGTATGGATGCCATTTGGATTTCATCAGCTTTTCCACGAATGTCCTTTTTCTCTGTTCCAGAATCCAGTCCAGGATGCTATGTTGCATTAGGGATGTATTCATTTTCATGCAGTAAAATATATTGATTTATGGCTCATTTTGTTCTTAGAGAGTCAGTTCATATACTAAGACATGATAAAATATCAACCTATATTTCTTCTAGCTTTTTACGGTTCCTTTTTTTTTTTTTTTTTTTTTTTTTTTTTTTTTCAGACAGAGTCTGGCTCTATCCCCAGGCTGGAGTGCAGTGGTGCAATCTTGGCTCCCTGCAACCTCCGCCTCCCAGGTTGAAACAATTCTCCTGCCTCAGTCTCTTGAGTAGCTGGGACTACAGGCAAGCACCACGACACCTGGCTAATTTTTGTATTTTTAGTAGACATGGGATTTCGCCATGTTAGCCAGGCTGGTCTCAAACTCCTGACCTCAGGTGATCCACTCGCCTCGGCCTCCCAGAGTGCTGGGATTACAGGCGTGAGCCACCGCCCCCGGCTGGTTTCATTTTTCAAAGAATTATTTATTTCTTTAAACCATCTGGAATTTATTTTGGTGTAAGGATCTAACATCTATTTTTCCAAACAATTGGTCAGCTGTACAGTATTCTATAATGAATCCTTTGTTTCCTCACTGATTTATGGAATAACTTTTATCAAGTATGAAATACTTAAATGTACAAGGTTCTGTTTCTGGGCTACAGCTTCCATTACATGGACTATTATATTGACAGCTGTGTCAGTATTGCAGTTTTGGCAGTTACATCTTTACAGTATGTTTTTTATCTGGTTAGAAAGACTCCTTCACCTTTAGCTTTATAATAAAATATGATAATAAGAATAATGAGCCCACCTATGTGCAAGGTCCCCCACAGAGAGGACATGAACAACCAAGTCCCACCTGCAAGGCGGCCACTGTATGGGGGAGGCAGACGAGTGAGTCAGCGACCGCACTGTGCTGGGACCCACACACAGAAGGGCCACCGGGTCTCGTGGGGCAGTCAGGGAGGGCCAGATGAGGAAGAGGTGCTTGATCTGTGGTCGATTTGAGGAGTTCAGCAGACAGAGGGGCAGGCAGGGCATTCCAGCAGAGGGAACAGTATAGACAAATGCCTGGCACTGCAAAGTATGCAGCATAGTCTCGGGGGGAGCAGGTGCTGGTGATGCGGGAAAGTCCTCGGCTCCTGTCCCGGGCTCTGGAATTTTTCAATTGCTGATTCTTTTCCCAGGAACATGTTCCCAGCTAACCTAGTAGAAGCCACATTCAAACAGGTGAGTGAGTCCCTGGGCGGTGGAGGGGAGGGGAGGGGCAGCCGGCAGGAGGGCAGGCAGCTGGGCTAGTGGCCGGGCTGGAAAGTGGCTCGTGTGCAGCCAGCTGTGCTGTCTCCTGGAGGTGGGATGCTAGAGGGAAGGGCACGTTGGGGGACTTAGATCCTTAGAGCCCCCCGTGGCCACATAACTGTCCTGGGTTCCAGTTTTCACGATGAAAAGTGCAGGGTGGAGAGAAGCCTCCACCGAGAGCCCGCTCTGCTCACGCCTACCCCACCTCGCCCATCCTCACAGTAACTCAGCACTGAGGTAGGACCCGCGCTGCTTCCTGACGAGCAAACTGAGGCCCCGAGGATTAAATAATCTGCCCAACGTTCTACCACTAGTAAATGACAAAGCCAGTAGTTAGACCCAGGCCTGTCTTCTCAGCTTGTTTTCTCTTTCTTTTTAAAGTAATAATTTTCCCTCTAACAAGAATGATAGTGATGTTCAATATAAAAAATTAGGAAAATACTAAAAACATAAAGCAGCAAATAAAAATCATCTCAGTTCTAGGACATAACCCCTGGTAGCAGATGGTATATTTCTAGTCTTTTTCCACTATATATTTTTAAAGTAATATTATAATCGTAGTGGATAGACAGTTTCATCTTATTTCTTTCACTTCCATTATATCACGAGCATTGCCCCCGGTTATGAAATATTCCTAAAAAGTGCAATATTTAATGGTACTATAATGGCCTGTGATAAGGCTGGGCTGCAGTTTATTTCCCATTCCCCCTTTCAGTGTTCCCTTAGGTGGTTTTCAAGGTTTTTCTTTTGTAGAAATTGTGGTGAATGTCCTTGTGCATCAGTGTTTGCCTGCCCTTCCGATTGTTTTCCAAATCTTGTTCCCTTTCTATAAACTGTCAGCTGGTTGGTTGACTTAATCCAGCAAGGGTTTCCCGAACCTCTTTCCTGGGCTGGGTCCTGTGTTGAGCCTGGGAACACAAAGGAAGTGGCTGAGGCATAGAGAGGAGGCTTCTGAATAGGGAGCTGTGAAAGCTTCAGCAAATCACTGTGTCTCTGCTAACATCTGTGAAATGAGCCAGATTGTGAAGGGCACTGACTGCTGGGCTAGCGAGTTTCTATTGTGATGGGGAATCATTGAGGTTATGAGAGAGAAAGAGAAAGAATGTTGCTCTACTTCGTAACTACCTGGAATGCCCTTTTTCTTTTGGTAAACTCCTACTCATCCTTCAGGACCCAAGTCAAATGTCCCCTTCTTTGTAAAGTTGTCTAACTCTTTCAGCCAATTAGTCACTCCGTCCCCAAGGCAGTATCATGTCAGGTTCATTTGCGTGTCTCCAGCAACCAGCACAGTGTTCAACATGGTGATGATGGTGACTGTAGCAGTCATGCTTCCATGGGGCTTATCACATGCCAGGAAGTGTTGTAAGCACTTTATATACATAATCTCATTTCATTCCATGCGGTAAATGCTATCACGATCCCATTTTACAGAGGAGAAAAAGGAAGCACAGAGACTTCAGGTCTCATATATTTCCTGAGTGGTTGGCCTTATCGATGCAGTGAGGTTTGAGGGGAGAGGAGGCTCCCTTGTTGGGCTCCCAGTACCTGAGGGATGAGGGGTTGAGACCCATGAATGCTCTGGGGGCAGAGAGGGAAGGGTACAGGGCTAAGGAGGGCCATTTCCTCATGCCTGGGCTTCACCAAATCAAGAAGGCGTGGGGCAGGCTAAGCTTCTTAAAAGAGAAGGTCCAAGTTTCCACCTGGTAGGCAGCAGGACTCGAGGGCCACAAGGTGGGTGGATGAGTGGATGGTTGGGAGGGGACAGATGGGTAGATAAAGGGTTACCTGGGTGGATGAAGGGCCAGGTTCGTGGCCCAGATGGGGTGATGAGGTATAGAAGGAAGAAGAGGAATGAGGGCAGGAGGCAGCACGGCTGGGTGGTGTGGTGGTGGAGGAAGGAGTTGCAGCTTGCTTTGGGTAAAATATTCATAGTAATTCCTGCCCTGCCTGACTCACACAGTTACTGTCAATCAAATAGTATAGGAGCAGATACAAATGTGCCTTCAAGATGCTGTTATTGTAATTGATATTAATAACAACGCTTGGCCTTGACTTCTCTCTGGGTGGGGTGTTGCCCACCAGTACCGCACCAAGACCACTCCGGTTGTCAAGTCCCCCAAGGTGGCACCAGAGGAGGCCCCTCCTCGGCGGATCCTCATCTATGGGGTCCAGGAGGAGAATGGCTCTCGTGTGCAGAACTTCGCCCTGGATCTGACCCCGCCGCCTGAGATCATTTACAAGTCGGAGCCGGGCACCAGCGATGGCATGAACGTGCTGGGCATTGTCTTCTTCTCCGCCACCATGGGTATGTGCTGCCCACCCACCCAGCAGTGCCCTGCAGCTGCTTCCTCCAATGATCTGAGTAAGCCGGAGTCACCCCATCTTCCAGATCCCCATTCCAGCACTGACAGCACCTCCCATCCTTAGCCGGACTGGATGCTCCTCCCTCAGAACTCCCCCTCAGCTCCACGGGGTGCTGGTTGACCCGCAAGGGCTCCACCGCGCCCCAGCCCCTCACAGCAGCCTGCTCCTCCCCCTCTTCCTGAGGTCTGGGAGAATGCCAAAGGGAGAGGTTTACCTCGAAGAACTGGAACTATTGGACACCCCTGTTTCTTTAAATCCTGTACCTCCCCGCCCTGCCCCAAGGGCTTCTCCCTGCACCTGCCCTTCAGACCTGTCTGGGCCATTTCTAGGGTCCACAGTTGGCATCCCTGCCCCACCCTTCCCTTTGCTGCCCTCCTCTGGGATGCCAGGGCCCCCCACCTATGCAAGTTCCTTGGCCCACACCTTGTGTTTTCAATTTTGTGTAATTTTTCTTAAAGAGGGGCCCCAAACTATACAAGCTTCAGACCCCACCAAGCCTGCGGACGTGCCCTGTCCGCTGCCCCCACTCCTCCACTGGGTTTTCTCGTCAAGAAAAAGACCTCACCGTCCTCCTCTTTTACGAAGAAACTGGGAGCTGACTTTCCTTCCAGCTCATCCTCGGCCCTGGCCTCCCCTCCGCGTCCTGCAGGGTCTGAGCCTGAGGTCCCCTCCAAGCCGCTCCTTTCCCTCTCCCCACGCCACAGCCCGGGTCAAGGCCATGCGATCCCTCACCTGGTTCCTGTGAAGGCTGCCTAGAAAGCTTCCAGGGCTGTCCCCACTGCTGTGTCCCGCCCAGAGGGTCACAAGGCTGACCGTGCTCTGTCCACTATCCCTGGAAAGGGGCTGAACCCCTAGTGCTGGCTGCAGAACCCTGTGAGACCGGCCGGGTGCCCGTCTCTGCACAGCCCCCCCAGCAGGGTGTGCCCATCTTCAGGGCACTCCCCACAAGGGCCAGGCCCTCAGGAGAGTCCTGCCAGACTAGGCCGAGTGCTCCAGGCTACCCTGCTCGCTTACTCTGTGAGCACTCGACTGTTGCAAGGGTATCAGTGCTTGCCCTCTGCCCAGTCTCAGGCAGCCCCACGAAGGCAGGCAGGCAGGCCTGTCTCCATCCACCCCAGAGCCCACCGCTACCATGGCTAAAGCAGGCACTCAGCAGACTGGGTGGGGAGATGGGTGGACGACCAGGTGACAATGGGTAATGGAGCTCTTCTCATCTGGGCCAAAACGCCAGGCATGCAGAGGGACCAGAGCATAGTGACCCGGGTGTGTACAAGACGGTGTCTAAAAGTGCCTCTCAGCACATCTGACAAGCAGTCCCCAAACTCAGCCTCTCTCAGGGCTGGGAACATGGGAAAAGGGCATCTGTGGGCAGAGCAAAAGAACCCCAGACCCTTGAACTTGACTCACTGAGCGTTTGCTGAGCATGTGGAACTGTCCGTGCATCGTGGACATTTGTGTGAGTGTACTGAGGCGGTATGTGGCTTAGTCTGTGTACTCATGCCTGCATGTGCCCACGTCTGCCGATGCCCATGTCCGTGTACACCTGCGTCCCTGTGTCCCGCATCAGCATGCGCCTGTCCCGCCTGTGCCCGCGTCTGTGTGCACTGGCGTCTCTGTGTCTCTCATCAGTGTGCGCCTGTCCTGTCCATGCCTGTGTGCACTTGCATCTGTGGGTGCTCATGCCTGCGTGTGCCCACTCCTGCTTCTGTGTGTCTGTGCCTGTCAGTGCCCACATCTGCTGGTGCCTGTGCCCATCGGTGCAAATGCCAGTGTCTGCACACGCGTGTGAGTGAGCACACTTGCACAGCAGCTCCGTGCAGGGCTTTCTTTGGTCCCCTCAACCCAGCCTCCTTTCTCCACCCCATCCCTGGGATGTGGCTTGTGCTAAGGTCTTGCTGGCCTTGCTGTGAGGGAACCCCCCTCCCCCGCCAAGCCAGGGTTCCATGCACACTGGTTTCCAGCAGCCAGCTCTTGGATGGCCCGGGAAAATCCAAATGGACCTGAGGAGGGCAGGAAGCCCACTCACGGTGGAGCCTGGGGAGGGCGGAGCCAGCAGGGGAATCTGGGTCCACACCAGCCAGGCTGCAAGAGGACAGGTAGCCGGCCAGGGGTAGGCCCAGGGTCACCTCCACCTCCAGCCTCTCTTGTCCACCTCACCCCATCACCACAGGGTAGCTGCTCCATGGACTGTGTGGCTCAGGCTTCTCAAGACAGGGAAACAGCCCTTCTCTGGGGTCCCACAGGGAGGCCAGGGTTTGAATCCCACCCTGCCTCCCTGGCTGAGCCCCAGCGCCATGACAGTGGGCCTCATGAGAGCAGCTGCAGAGTGCTCTGCTCCACATGTCGGTCTCACCAGGAGGGAGGAAGGCCACTCAGGCCCTGTTTCAGGACAGGCCTGATGGAACTCACCGCACAGAACCAGCCCCACTCCGCCCTTTTCTGGTGCGTGCAAGCTGGGAAGGAAGGCCTAGAATGCCGGGGGGAGGTACCAGGATCGTCAGGAACGTTTTTAGTCCTCACTCGCATTGCTCACTGTGCATCTAACATGCGCCAGCTAAGGAGATGCAGCTCTTGCTCTTGCTGAGCTAAGCTTCTCATAGAAGAGATGGAAAAACCCCGGACAGCTCTGTTGTAATAGACCCTAAGAGATGAGATATTGAAGAGTAAGTGGGAGTTCACAAAGGGGAGTGGGGATGGCTTCCAAGGCCCGTGGAGAGCGGGCAGCCGGTGCCTGGGGCATTGTAAACGGCCTACACGAGGGCCCTGAGGCGGTGAAGAGCTGGACTCCTTCCAGAAACTTAAAGAAGGCCCATGGTGCCAGGGCCTAGTGAGACCGGCAGGAGCAGAGGGAGGGGCAGGCAGGGCCCACTCAAGCTGGCTGAGACCTGAACTGGGTAAGGCAGAGGGGGCGTGTCACGGCCTAAGTGCACGGCAAAGCCAGGGCTGTGCTTGGCAGGGAGTGTTTTATCCTGAGGAGGTGACATTGGCTGCTTCGTGGAGAAAGGTGAGAAGGAGGAAGATGGGAGAGCACCGTGGTGGAGGGAGGAGGAGAGAGGGAGGGGGGTGGGGAGGCAGGGAGGGTTGGAGCATCAGGGCGGCTGGGAAGACAACCGTGCCAAGACCCATGTGGGCCCAAGGGCCTGTCTCTGCTTTGCCACAGTGTGCCTGCACCCCAGCCTGGGGCGTCTGTGACATGCTCGTGTGTCCCTGATCTGCAGGCATCATGCTGGGCCGCATGGGTGACAGCGGGGCCCCCCTGGTCAGCTTCTGCCAGTGCCTCAATGAGTCAGTCATGAAGATCGTGGCCGTGGCAGTGTGGTAAGCCTCCTCACTTACCCCCCTCACCCTGGCCCACCCTGGGAGGGTGCAGGGAAGACGTGGCCCCACACTCTGCTCCCCTGGAGTGAGCGGAAAACTGCGCCCAGCCTCAGCCCTGGCCCAGGTCCCCAGAGCTACATGTGTTCCCATGGGTCCCCCAGCCCCAGCCAGATCTGGTTCCTGCCCTGGGCCTGCCCCTTCCAGCCTGGTGTAAGAGCTCAGCCCAGCTCTGCTGCAATCACATGGAGCCTCCTCAGCTCAGCTCTTGGAGAAAGGAAAGCTGGCGGTGAGAACCAGCTTCTGTTCCTTGGTCCAGAGTTCAGAGCTCAGGAGCTCAGTGAGGAACGCAGAGGAAGTTCTGCCCACGTTCACCCTGTAGGCTGTGGTGTGGCTGGGGCTGAAATGGAGGCCTCCTGAAGGCAGGGCAGGGGAAGGACGAGTGGCAGAGGTTGTCTGGGGCTGCGGTGATGGAGGTAACAGCATGAAGGATGCCATGTGCTGAGCCTGGGTCGGGCACCTTGGCACAGTCTCACTGTCCTCACAGGAGCCCCGGGAGGCTCAGGGAGGAGAAGTCTGCACAGTGACGCAGGGTGGGGCCAGGGTGGGCCCCCTGCCTGCCTGGTGTCTGAGCCTGGCTGCCCTGCCGCCCCCAGGTACTTCCCCTTCGGGAATTGTATTCCTCATCGCCGGAAAGATCCTGGAGATGGATGACCCCAGGGCCGTCGGCAAGAAGCTGGGCTTCTACTCCATCACCGTGGTGTGCGGGCTGGTGCTCCACGGGCTCTTCATCCTGCCCCTGCTCTACTTCCTCATCACCAAGAAGAACCCCATCGTCTTCATCCGCGGCATCCTGCAGGCCCTGCTCATCGCACTGGCCACCTCCTCCAGGTAGCCCCGGGGACAGTGGGGAACCGGGAGGGGCTGAGCCCTGTTCATCCGTCCAGCCATCATTTGCCCTTCGCCACAGAACCACCAAAGTGCCAGTGCGGCCCACCCCACAAACTTGGGAACAGCTGGTACTAGGGTGGCAAGACTGATGTGGGGGACTTTCAGCCTCTGTTGAGGCCTCCCCCTCCCTGACAGCCCCGGTCCTCAAGCACACTGAGTCCACACGGGGCGGCTTCCACACGCCAGGGCAAACAGCGCTGTGAGTCTGTGGGAAGTCACAGCGACGCGCTGCAGCTGCCTTACGCCTCCACAGTGCTTGTCCCCGAGCCGCGCCCTGCGCTGCTCTAGAGGCTCTGCCTGTCCACTGCTGCTGAGACATCCTGGCTGGGTGTCCGATCACAACGGGGCAGTGTCGCTAGACCTCAGGGACTTGAGTCATGGCTCCGTCACTCACTTGCTGTGCCTGGTCACTGCTTTCGTCCTGCACAGACCAGGGAAGCCTCCAGCTCACAGGGCTGCTGCGGAGGCTGAGCTCCTCCCTGCCAGGCTGGGCCAGGTGAGCCGGCACTTGGCCTCGAGGATCCCAAACCACAGGCCAGTGCAGAGACCTCAGGAATTTAGAGTTGTGCAAACCACGTCGTTGTTAGAGGGGGCAGGAAGGAAGTGGCCACTTACGGAGCATCTGGCCCTGTGAAGGCAGGGTGGCTCTTCCCACAGCAAGTGTCTGAGCTCCACATTAAGGAAGTCGCAGCAACTCAAGCCACATCTTTCTGGCACCGAAGGCCTCACTTTTCCCTCCAGCCCTCACTTGGGCCTCAGACTCCCCATCTGTAGAATGCCCTGCATGCCTGTCATATGACACCCACACTTGGCAGGACTGAGGAGGAGCAGACCCCAGAAAAGCCCAGAAGCCATTGCCAGGAACATCCTCCTGAGGATAGGGGGTCAGAGGACAGGACCAAGCCCCAAACATGCCAGCTCCCATGCCACAGGCCAAGCCTGCCAGAGCCAGCAGCCCCCTAGTCATCTCCTGCCAGCAGGAACTGCGGCCTCAAGCCCAGCAGGTCTGGGGCTCCTGAGAGGCTCTGGCAAGTAGAACGGGCCTCCCAGGCAGAAGTCCAGGGGAGAGGAAGGCATGGGGCACACCAGCGTGCATTTCAGTCCCAGCACTGCCACTAGAAGCTCTCAGGACAAACATAGTAACAATAGGGTGGCAGTCACCATTGACTGAGTAGGTCAACGGGCCAGGTGCTGTCCAAGCACAGAGTTGTCTAATCCTCCTAGTACCTCTGTGATCCAAGTATTCTGGGGACAAAGATGCTAAGGCACAGGGTTCAGGGCCACTTGGCGGGAGGCTGGAATCTAAGCCCGGGCAGCCTGGCCCAGAGCCTGCTGCTCAGGCCTCCATATCCCTTGGCACAGTAGTGTGACAAGGGTCAGCTCTGTCCTCCAGGTGTCAGCTTCCTCATCTGTAAAAGGGACCCAAACACCTCCCTCATAGGAAGAACCAAGTGGGAGCACACAGTGCCCGCAGTCCTTCCCTCCTGCCAAGATAGCACCTCAGGGCAGCAGCACTCCTGGCGGGGTGGCTGCGTGGGTGGGGTGAGCTTCCCAGCAGGGGCGCCGGCCATCCCGGAGGAGGGTGCTGGGCAGACACCGGCCCCTCTGCCCGTAGCTCAGCCACACTGCCCATCACCTTCAAGTGCCTGCTGGAGAATAACCACATCGACCGGCGCATCGCACGCTTCGTGCTGCCCGTGGGTGCCACCATCAACATGGATGGCACTGCGCTCTACGAGGCCGTGGCCGCCATCTTCATCGCCCAGGTCAACAACTACGAGCTGGACTTTGGCCAGATCATCACCATCAGGTGCCCCCTGACACCGCACCTATGTGGATGGGGTGGGGGCTGGGGGCTTTGGGGATTCCTGGGCTCTCAAACCTGAGGGGCCACTGAGGCAAGCGAACCTGGGTTCAGGGCGCAGCGGGCAGAGGGCCAGGGCCGAGAGCTCAGAGCCTGGAGGACAGGTGGGGAGGGAGGGCATTGCTGGCGGGCACCAGGCAAGCAGAAGCCGGGGACAGGATTCGGAGAGGCCGCTGGTGTGGCAGGAGCTGAGGAAAGGGTGCTGGGGTCGGGCTGAGGCTATGGAGGCCTCCCAGGCCAGCCAAGCACACAGGCCTGATCCTGGAGGCCAGGCCCCAGAGGGAGGCGGGCAGAGCCGCATGGTGGACAGTTAGAGTCCCGGGCAGCTCACAGCAATAGAGCTTTCTGGAACCCATAGAGGCACAGCTCCAGACACAGTCGTTTGCACATTCCCCAGAAGCTCTCCTGAGACTGGGAATGGGGGTGCATGGGGCTGCAGGACTATGAGTAAGGACCTGACCCCAAGAGCTCCCTGGCGCAACATTCCTAACCACCCCTCCCCAAATGGCTGTCCCAGAGGCCCTGACATTCAGCCTCCTCCTTGGAGCCAGACTCTGACAAGGCACCCGCCCTCCTGCTGCTCCTCTCCCCCTCCCCACTCCCTGCAGTATCACAGCCACTGCGGCCAGCATCGGAGCAGCCGGCATCCCCCAGGCCGGGCTGGTCACCATGGTCATCGTGCTCACCTCCGTGGGACTCCCCACCGACGACATCACCCTCATCATTGCAGTTGACTGGGCTCTGTGAGTGGACTTTGTCCCCAGCTCTAGCCCTCTGGGAGGGGCTGGCTTCAAAGGCAGCAGGGATCAGGGGTGAGGGGCTGAGTCCCTTCCCCAGGGTAGAAGGCTGGGGTGGGCAAAGCCTCAAGGGGCAGGGGCCTAAGGCAGGAACTCAGCTCTCCAACCCTCCTGAGCAGCCGACAGGGGCCAAGACCACACATTATTCTCACCTTTGAGAGGCCGGAATTAACCCACTTGATGGAAAATGGAGTCTCACTGCTGTACTGACCCTCATCCTCCCTAGCGTCTGTAGGCACCGTGGCAGTGCCCTACTCATCAGCACAGGCCTGGCTGCATAATTTGCAGGGTCCAGTGTTCAAAAATGAAAATGTGGAACCCAGTCCAAAAGCTGTAAAGACCAGGCGTGATGACTCACGCCTGTAAATCACAGCACTTTGGGAGGCCGAGGCAGGAGGATTCTTCAAGCCCAGGAATATGAGACCAGCCTAAGCAACATAGCAAGATCCCCATCTCTACTAAAAGAAAAAAAAATTAGCTGGGAGTGGTGGCATGTGTCTGTAATCCCACATACTAGGGCAGCTCAGGCACAAGAATCGCTCGAACCCAGGAGATGGAGATTGCAGTGAGCCAAGATGGTGCCACTGCACTCCAGCCTGAGTGACAGAGCAAGACTCTAAACCTATAAAGAATTTCAACACAGAAACAGCAGAGCATTAAACCAAGCCTGACCCTTTTAACATAGGGACCTGTAGAACCCACAGCCACATGCCAAGAAGCTGCTTCAACGATGCCAAAGGGTGGGCTTGGGAGGAGCCAGGAAGCCACCTGGCCGCAGGCTCTGCACAACAGCTGGTCACCAGCCGTGCTTTGCTGCAGTGGGTTGAGCACTGCCCTCCTCCAACTCCCCTTCAAGTGCCCACCACTCACCGCCCCCCTTGGCTCACCAGGGACCGTTTCCGCACCATGATTAACGTGCTGGGTGACGCACTGGCAGCGGGGATCATGGCCCACATATGTCGGAAGGACTTTGCTCGAGACACAGGCACCGAGGTGAGAGCAGTGAGGTCCAGAGGCCACCAGGAGGGTGGAGCCAGGTGGGGTGGGCAGGACACCAGATCTTCCACCAACCAGCTGGGCAGCCTCCAGCCAATCCCTCCCTTCACGCCTCTGGGCCTCTGCCTCCTCGTCTGTTACAGGGTGACTAATTCCTCTAACATCTATTTATTGAGCACCCACTGTGGCTGGCGCTGATATAGACACAGGAGGAACAGGGGAACAAAATGTGAGAAGATTCCCTGCCCTCGTGGAACTTACACTCCAGTGTAGGGATGGCCTGTCCAGTTTAGCCACAGTGTGAACACTGGTAGGTCTGTGCAGGCTATGAGGGCTTTAGGCTCCTTCTGTGGGCAAATGGAGAAGGCTGTCCCCACATCATGGGGAAAAAGCTGACGTCAGGCAGGGGAGCCACTGATTCCCCAGCTGGACCCGACCCTGTGGATCGAGTCCCCTCCTCTACTAAGGCAGCTCCAATGGGAGGCAGGACAGCTTGGGAACAGGAGCCTAGGGAGGCCCTGCAGCCTGCCGAGGTCACACAGCATGTCTGCAGGAAAATCCATCTCGTGGTTCCTAGCCCTGAGCTCATTCTGCCGCACTGACCCTCAGTCCTCCCTAGTATCTAACCTCAGTCCTTCCTACTGCTGCCAAAGCCTGTTTCCCTTCACCAGAAACTGCTGCCCCGAGAGACCAAGCCAGTGAGCCTCCAAGAGATCGTGGCAGCCCAGCAGAACGGCTGCGTGAAGAGCGTGGCTGAGGCCTCGGAGCTCACCCTGGGCCCCACCTGCCCCCACCACGTCCCCGTTCAAGTGGAGCAGGACGAGGAGCCGGCCGCTGCGCGTCTGGACCACTGCACCATCCAGATCAGCGAGCTGGAGACCAACGTCTGAGCCTGCAGTGTGGCAGGGGTGGGCGAGGCCTCCAGGGACAGGGTCCTGAGCAGGAACTCAGCTCTCCAACCCTCCTGAGTGGCTGACAGGGGCCAGGACCACATATTTTTCTCACTCTTAAGAGGCTGGAATTAACCCCACTTGATGGAAAATGGAGTCTCAAAGAAGGGAAAGGCAGCATGGGGGAGCCGCAACCAGGGCACGATGGGCCCCACTGTGACAGTTTCCCCACGTGAGCCCGGTGAGGGTGGCAGGCAGGGGTTGTCCGGCCCCACTTTCTAGATGACAGGGTTGAGGCTCTGAGAACTGAAAACACTTGTCCAAGGTCTCACGTTAAGGTCAAGACACCAACTCAAGTCTTTCAAGCCCCACCTCTCCTCTTGGAGGACGGGGCAGCCTGCAGCTGTGTCCAGCCCCAGGCCCCACCCCATAACAGGTGGCCTCATCCACACCGCTCTTCCTTCGGGGAGCAGCCCAGGGCCCAGCCCCGCTGCCATCCCCAGGCCACAGTGCGTCCACCCTCCTGTCCTGCCACTTGCCTCTTGCAAAGCTCCTTGGATGCGGAGGCGGATGTCTTTACTAGAGCTGAAAGTCCCCCTCGACACATCCAGGTCAGCCTCCCACGGGATGCGTGGGCAAGCCAGGACTCCGGGAGCAAGGTGTAGCCGGGACGCACTGGCAGAGCTGCCAGTGGGGCCCTGGTGTCAGAACTCCCCAAAGGCCTGTGTGTCCAAGTGGAGCCGGGTTTTTTATTCCTTTCCGTGTTTGCAAATTCAGTGATAACTAAATAAAGGTTTTGTTTTTCACTTCCTGTGGCCTCCAACACTTTATGCTAGCCAGCAAATATGATAATAGCCACCGGGCTAATTAATACAGGCAGCCAGAGTGCAGACAGGCCTGTCTGGGCAGCCCGGATATGGACAGGTCTGTGCAGGTGGTGAGAATCTAACAAGCTTGACTGTGCAGCTGGAGTGTAGACAGGTCCATCCAGGCTGCCAGTGTGTGGACAGGCCTGTGTGGGCAGCCAGAGTGCAGAGGAGCCTGTCCCGGTGATCACAGTAAGAACAGGCCTGTCTGAGCTGTCACATGCAGAAGACAGTACAAGCAGCCTGCCCAGGAGCCTGTCTCAACAACCACAGTGCGGCTGGGCATCGTCCAGTGTGGACAGATCTCTCTGCCCTGGCCTAGACTCTGCTCTGCAGGCAGGGCCTTGAGATCGGTCCCCAAAGAAGCACAGATTTTCTTCCCAGTCTGGCTCCCCGTGGTGAATGCTTGGCTTTAGAGAGGGGCGTGCCCAGGGGCATTCCCAGAGGGTCTCCCTCTTTCTTCTACCCCAGGCTGCCTCCAGGAGGCCTGCAGGGCACACAGAAGGGTCCTGGCCACACAGCCTGTTCCAGATATGCCGTGGGGAGAAGACACAGCTCTGGGGTCGGGAGGGGCTTGCGCCATGGTGCCTATGAAGACACTAAGGCCCTGGGAAGGGACAGGCCTCTCCCGGGTCACTCAGCGTCAGGAGGGCACCTGCTTCCAGCACCCCACTCCCAAACTCCTTCCACCTTCCTCTCAGGGGTGGAGTCTGAGGCGTCTGGGAAGAGCGGGACCCCAGGACACCACCTTTCACTGTAGGGCTGGGGGCCCTCTGTGAGAGCATCTCCTTCGCTGAGGCCTCCTCACCTGGGAGAGGTCAGATGTCACACAATCGGTCATCCCACCTTCATGTGGACAGGCTTAGCAGTCCCTTCCTAGTGTCACATCTCTAAGACCCCTTGAGCAGTCGAGTCTGTCCCAACAGAAGGCAGGAGGCTGCTCTTTAGTGGACTTGATGGGAGCATACTCACACACCTCCAGCAGCAGGTCACTACTACCAGGGCACCTCAACCCACTGTGGGGCAGCTCTGCCCATCGAAAGTTCTTCTTAGCTCAGAGCTGGGTACCACCGCCCTGTGGCTTCCTCTCTCAGTCCCAGCTCTGCCCCACTGGGGTGGGGAGCACACAGGGCACATCTGTGAGCTCTTTCCTGGGAAGGTCTGCAGAGACCTGGCCCCCAAGCCGGCTATGTTCCAGCTCCCAGGCCTACCTCCAGTCCCTTGCTCTCCTCTAAGGCACGGGACCCACTGGTAATGCCCCTCAGTGCAAAGGTGAGCCGTGACCCTCCAGGGGAGCCCTTAACAGGCCCAAAGCCCAGGAGGTCCTTTGCTTGGACGCCCCACCTCTGGGAGTGCACAGTGGGCTCACAGGCCACGTGTGCGGGTTCAGGCCTCACCTACTACTCCCCAGTGGGCCATCTGCACACAGCTCCAGGCCGCCTCACCTGAGGCTCTGCCCTGTCTCCCGGGATCCCTGCCTGTGCAGCTACTCTGGAGGCCTGGAAAACTGGACTTTCCACTGATGCCTGCTGGTCTGGCCAGGGCACTGAGGGGCTTGTATCCTGCGCCCTCCACCCGCACCAGCCCAGCAGCTGGCAGGAAGCACGCACAGACATAGCCACAGGCTGCAGGGACAGGGATAATGCTTTTATATTAGTTTTTCTATAACAAGAAAAATCAGCTTTGAGATTTTTATCATTTTTTTCCTTAGAAAAGAATAAAAAACAAAGGCACCGGAACTTCCCCCACAGGCCTGAAGAACAAAGCTGTCTCCTGGGTGCAGCTGGGCCCTTCCCACGCCTTCCAGCTCAGCCCAACCCCATCACCTCCACCTCACTCCTGCCCCAAGGCCCCAGCAGCACCCACAGGGGGCCCCCCGTCCTGCCTTCATGGGGCTTGCCCATCGGAAAAGTGCCTGTGTCCTGCCAGGGCATGGCTGGGGGAGGGCTCTTCGCAGAGTGACTGCCCAGCACCGGCAGAAGCAGCATGGGCCGGGCCAGGCCAGCAGTCCTGAAGGTTGCTGTCCCCAAAGAGTGGGAAAGGAAAAAAAAAACAGCTTTTGTGAGTTCCAGAGGATGGCAGGCACCTGGCCACAGAGCATGGAGATATCCTTGTGTCTTCTCCAGGGAATGGACGGACAGGTGGACGGGGCAGACAGTGAGCTGCTATGGCTTGTTCTGGCTGGGACAAGAGCTGTCTGTGGCACAGGCTTTGGAGGGCTGTTTGCACATGATTGTGTGTGTGTGTGTGTGTGTGGTGTAGCACACGCATACACGTCAGCAGCAGGAGGCAGCGGGTGCCTGTGTGTGCCAGGGCAGGGGTAGACCCTTCCCTGAATGATTGAGAGGGCATGGCAGCAGTAGTGGGTGTGGGGCAGAGACTAGTGGTTTGGAGGGCAATGTGTAACTGGCTGTGTGGCTAAGCTGGGCGTGTGAGGGTGTGATGTGCTGTCTGCACACGTCTGGCCGTGGGACATGCTGTGGGAGGGGTGGGAATATGAGATTGGGTCGGCCTGCATCGTGCGGGATGCCCCATGCTTGCAGCTGGGTGTATCCATGTGAGCACGGCAGAGTGGGGGGCTCTCGGGCACAGGCGTGCGCTGCAGCAAGGAGTCCAGCGGTCCATCGTCCTGCAGAACACGTAAGAGAGTCAGGGGCCAGCTCGGGGCAGGCCCACCAGCCACAAGCAGCTGCGGGAGGCTACTGAGGGGAGCCCTGCTGGAGGTGGCTCTGGAAAGGCCAGGCTACTATAAGTAGGGAGGGAGCCCAGAACCAGTGGGGTGCTTATGCCGGAAGGCCTTTGGGTCCCACCAGCCACTCCCTGGAGCCTATCCCAGAGCCCCACTCAATTGACCTGAGAAGGGGCAGATTCTCACCCAGAACTCTCATCCCAGGACTCACAGCCCCCCTCATGAGGGCTGTGGTATCCTCACAGGATGGCCAGTCCCTGTCGCTGGCCCCAACTCTATGTGAGGACCATGCCTGGGAGAAACGGCTCCACCTTCATCTTCCCTGGCCCTGGGAGCTGAGGAAGGTGACCCCTAAGCTCTTTCCTACATCAGTAACTCCCCCTCCTGGCCAGCCTCTTCCCACCAGCACCCAAGCCAGTTCCTCCGTTAAGCGGATGCGTATGTGGAAGATGCATCTTTCCAGAGCCCCCGACGCAGGGCTCCCCTCGAGAGGCCTTTGCTTCCTGTGCAGTCCAGAAAATGAGCCCTTCTTGAACTTCACACCCCAGTCCCACCTCTCCCTCTCTCATCTCTCGCAGCCAGACTGCTCTAAAGGCTCATCTACAGTGCCTGGATCCACCTCCTTTCCGGACGCTCTCCTCACCCCCAGCTTCCCCTGTGGCTACAAAGTCACAGACAACCTCCTGGTGGAAAAATCCAGTGTGCACTCTGCGATGCTCAGCTCCCTCGGCCCCTCAGCAGCACTGACATGGCCATGTCCCCGCTCCTAGAGAGGCCTGTGCATGCACGTATCGTGTGCATGTGTGTGCATGCAGGTGTGCAGGTGAGGGCTGTGTGTGTGCGTACGCATGACTGTTTTGTGTGCATGTACGTGGTCTAGGCCTGCAAATGTGTCATGGAGTACAAGAATGTATGTGTCTCTGTGTGCATGTGTGTGGTGTGTGTCCTGCCTTCCGTGGTTTGTGGATGTGTGTACATGTTCTAGACGTGTGTGCACATGAATGTGTGGGTTGGTGCATACATGTGTATTTGCATATGCACATGTGTGTGCCTGTGTTACATACTTGTGCAAATGCCCTCTGTCCACAACAGTGGGGTTGCCGCACTTGCTTTCCTAACTGCTCTGCTCAGTCTCCTCTCCCACTTTGCCTGCCCGCCTCACACACTCTCCTACAGCAGCCTCCCCAGCCCCTGTGGCTTCAGTGATTGCTTCGAGGCTGACAATGCCTGGATCAGTCTTTCCAGACCAGACCTCACTCCTGAGCCCAGACCCACATGCCCAGTGCCCCCCAGGCACTCCCATGACAGCACCCTGACTCTGAGTGAGAATCTTCTGGAAGTTGTGGGCCTCTTGTAGGCTTCAATCTTTCACCCAGGGACTGGTATGTCCTAAGAGCTCTTATAAATTTGCCAAATGGGCCGATGAAGCAGAGGACAGAGAGTGAAACGTGGCCAGAAAGACCCCACACCCGGGTCAGGAACAGGAAGTACAGTGAGCAGAGGTGAGGGCTGCCCACGCAGGCCATGTACCTAGGTCAGATCTGCGTCACCTTGTCACTATCTTGTTTCCTCTTCCTCTTCCTCCTCTTCCTCCTCCTCCTCTTCCTTCCTCAATCGGCCACGGTCCTTGGAAACATCACCAAACTCCAAGTTGCCTTCAATGTCTAAGACCTGCAGGTGTTTCAGCCTCCGGAAGGCGCTGTCCACCACAGAGCCCACGGCCAGCTTGTTAAACCTGTGCCAGAATCGAGGCGGAGTCAGTGCCAGGAGCCCAACCCCCAAGGAACCCTCCCTTAACCAGACTGCCCTCTCCAGAAGGTAACGGGGGAGGGAACAGCCCTCCCGCAAAGTGATGCAGCAGGCAGGAAAGGCCAGGGGCTGAGAGGTGGGGAGCATGATGGAAGGTACAGGCCAGTCAGGGTAGCCACAGCTTGGGGTGGGGCTGGCACTGGGCCAGTCTCTGCAAACTGAGGTGTCTCTTTCTGGGCACACTTTCACGCTATTTTGGAAGCCACATCTTTGGGCGCTGTCTCTATGCCATCCCTGGCATTAACCCCAAGGCCTGAGGCTCCCAGGCTGTGGTAGCCGGGAGTCACCACAGTGCCTGATGTGGAGTGGCACACAGGCAAGGCCAGAGCTGAGGTGGGCTAGAGCCACACTCAGGGGTGGGGAGGTAGAGGCTGTGGCTCTGATCTCAGACCCCTCACTTACTGCACTTCAGCTCCCCTGCAGATGCCTGAGGCACATGTCATGCCACCCTGATGTCATCAAGTCCCTAACCTTCTGGGCCACCAAGCTCCTGGGAGCACACACTGCTCTTCTTTGCTCTGTCTCCTTCTCTCTGATTTGGGGGCAGGGGCAGTGGGAAGTGCTGGGAAGAACCACCCTGGCTCTGCTGCATGGAAGCCCCTCATATCCTTGGGAGCTGATGTCCTGAATCCCTCCAAACCCCCATCCCTTAGCCCCAGAACCCAGGGAGGACCTGAGCATCTTCCTGAATGTGAGGCCCAGGCCCAGCCTGGATGGCCGCACACACAGCAGTCACCTGTGCTCTCGGGGCCTCAGCTCTCCCAGCTATAAACTGGGAAGATGTAGTCTGCCGTCCTTTCTGCCACAGTAACATTCACAACACCCATGTGCACTGGTTTTTAACGTTTCCAAAGCCCTTTTACAAACCCAGGAACCATATCAGGCCTGGGCAGACTTAACCCTTGAGAGCTGAGCCATGGTTACAGTCAGCAGTGGAGCCAAGCTGTTCCCATGTGCCTCAGCTGTCCTGCTGGAGCCGGGGCAGGCCCCCTGGGGACGTATACAGGGCTGAGAGTGGCCTCCTACCTGAGAAAGATCCCCTTGAGGTTGGGTGTGGAGTCGAAGGCATTGGCGGGCACCGAGTTAATCTTGTTGTTCTGCAGGTACAGGTACTCAAGTGACTCGGGGAGCCCCTGAGGGATCTCTGTGAGCTGATTCCCGGCGATGTCCAGCAGCTGCAGGGGCGACCAAGGGAGTCAGGGACTCCCACCTGTGCAAAGCACTTAACAGCTTACAAAACTCCCACCAAGCCCCCTGCCTATCTAAATCTAACGATAACCCTGTGTGGAGCAGGGGGAGTCTATCACTATGCCCACTTCCCACATGGGGAAACAGAGGCTCAGAGAGGTTAAGTGATCTCTCCAAGGTCACATAGCCTGTAAAAGGCTGTAACTGGGTGCACCTGACTCCCAACCCTTATTCTAATTGATGCATGTCCTACCCAGCTTCTTGTGCTTTCTCACATAAACTCACAGCCAAGATATTTGGGTGTCACTGTCCTACCTCCTGACACACTTGTCAGTCCCTTAAGATTCTGTCATTCCCAAAGACCTCAAATAGGCAGAATCCAGAGCTCTTCCAGACTCTGAATCTCACCCCACTGGCCCTGGATGGGGTCAGTGGGAGGTGCACTGGTAGGACTGCTCACTTATGGACCTCAGGGGCCACATGTGCAGAGGCCAGGAGCAAGAGGGTGAGACCCACAGCGACCCCAGCACAACAACCAGGCCCCAGGCCCTTCTGTCTCAGATCATCACATGCCTGGAGTCCAGGGGCAGGCAGTCAGGTAAGTGGGCTCTAACAGGGAGCCGCTGGAGCCTGGCAGCACCCCACCCTCCCTCCCAGGTGTTTCCTTTTTTTTTTAGATTTGAGACAGGGTCTTGCTCTGTCGTCCAGGCTTGAGTGCAATGGTGCGATCATAGCTCACGGTCGGTTCTGTCTTCCCTAGGCTCAAGTGATCCTCCCTCCTCAGCCTCCTGGGGTAGCTGGGAATACAGGTGTGTGCCACTGTACCAGGCTATTTTTTTTAAATTTGTTTTCTGTCGATATGGGGTCTCAGTATGTTGCCCAGGCAGGCCTTGAACTCCTGGGTTCAAGCAGTCCTCCTGCCTCAGCCTCCCTAAGTGCTGTGATTATAGGCATGAGCCAGCATACGGAGTGGATTTCTCTTTGCACCCACACTGGTTGAGTTGGAGGTTTTACTTATTACCAAAGTGAACCATGTGCCCAGACATCCCTGCCTAACTCTGACCATGTGACCACAGCAGCCACATCCACTGGCCAGCCCCAGAAAGCATGAGTAGATCCCCACTGCTAGCCCTCTGCAGACTGGTGAGGTGGGCCCACAGCTCAGGCTGTCCCCCTCTGTCCCCATCCCGAAGCCCAACCTTCTCCACATACCTACTCCTGTGCCTGCAAGGGAGTGAGCTTGACTCTCCCATGCACACCTGAATCTGGGGCCCCTACCTGCAGCCATGACCTTCCTTACCTCCACAGCCCTTCTCAAACCTGTATCTGCAGGTGGTGTGCTCAGCTTAGCTGGACCAGCTATACTCTATCCCTCACTCTTGTACCTGCAGGCGGGCTGGGCTGACCCTGGCACGCCAGCCACACTCTCTGTATGGCCCACCTCCTGCTTCACCCTAGCTGGCATCCCCAACAGATACCTGAGGGTGAATGAGCTCAGCCTGGCCATACCTGAGGAACCTCCCTCACCACCCAGCCCTCCTTCTCACCCATCAGACGGGTGAGCTCAGGGCAGCCATGCCAGTACCCACCTCCACGGACATGGCCCAGCCCCCTCCCTTCCCCTTACCTGCAGACCGGCGAGGTCCACCCAGGCGCGGGGGCCCAGGGCCCGGCTGCGCAGTCGGTTGCTGGTGAGGTACAGCTCACGCAGCTGGGCCATGCCCGCCAGCGCCCCTCGTGCCAGGGCGGCCAGCTCGTTGCGCTTGACCTTCAGTACATGCACATTGCGAGGCAGCCCAGGTGGCAGCGTGTGCAGCCGGTTGCCCGACAGGTCCAGTGAGCGCAGCAGGCGCAGCTTGCGGAAGGCGTCGCGGTGCACCTGCGGGCTGGTGATGCGGTTGTAGCTGAGGTTGAGCTCCTCCAGGAAGTAGGTGGTGGCGAAGTCTTCACGGCCAATGCCTGTGATCTGGTTGTGCAGGATCATGAGGGTGCGCACGCGGCGAGGCAGGCCGCTGGGCACGCGCTCCAGCGCGTTGTTGTACAGGTGCACTGTGTGCAGCCGCTTGAGGCCCTGGAAGGCCAGCGGGTGGATGCCCTGCGCCCGCAGCTGGTTGCTGTGCAGCAGCAGGTACTCCAGGCTGCGGATGGGGGTCAGCACATCCGCGTCCACACTCCGGATGGCGTTCTTCTCCAAGTGCAGCAGCACCAGGCTGCGTGGCAGCCCTGCCGGGACCCGAGACAGGTTGTTGCTGGACAGATCCAGGTACTCCAGGCTGGAGAGCTTCCTGGGGCAGGGAGGGAATCAGGATGGTTGGCAGGAGCTCACACTGTGCTTGTTTCCACAATTCCCAAGAGAAGTGGCTGGGGAATTGCCACTCAGTCCTCCCAGCTCTGCCACTCACTGACTGGGGGCCTCAGTCCTTGCTCCTTGGGTTGACTCAATGATATTCTGGTGTAGGAACGATCTGGCATTTTCTAACACACAGGCGTTTACTTGAAGACCACTGTTTAACCTTTTGATAGCCTTTTGTGGCTACCCTCGTCCCTTATAAAAATGAAAATGCATTTGCCTTCAACAAGAATGTCTGAGTCTCTATTTCATACCAAGAAGCTAGCCTCGGCCAGTGCTTCTTACAGGTAAGGAATCTTGGCAGGCCTTATGTATACACAGCACTTGTTCCCAGGGACAGAAATGTCAACAGAGGCACAAGGCTTAGAGTTCCTTCTCCAGGAAAGGTGGGCAGGGATTCGTGTGAGGGGCTGGGCTGGGTGGCTGGCCCTGAAGGAGCTTCCCGGGCCCCGCGGTCACACCAAGGACGTGGCGAGACGAGGACTCACCAGAAGGTCTCGTTGTCCAGGCCCTCGTCGGTCAGGTAGTTGTTCTGCAGGTACAGCTCGCGCAGGCTGCTCAGCTCACTGAAGGCCCCCGGGGGGATCTTCTCCAGCTTGTTGTTCTGGGGGACGGAGGGGAAGGGAGGCAAGCGTGAGGGAGGGCCGCGGGCAGGGGCAGGGCCTCTGGATGAGGTGTGGAGAGGAGTGTGGGAAGCCACCAGGAAGGGGCTCAGACCTGAAGCATCCCAGGCGTGGTGCCGCCCACACCACACACAACCCACTGGCCAGGTGCCCGGGTTTCTGCCCACTTCTCCGCAGCGGGCCCCTTGCTCTCAGCCCCATGGTCCCACCTGGGCAGCACCTGTGCCCATGCGGGCCTGGGCTCTTTCCCCGCAGGCCCCCGCTCCAGTGCCCTGGCCATGGGGTCTGCTGTGCCCCTCCTCACCGCTCCCCTGCCCACCTTGAGGTGCAGCTTGTACAGGGCAGGCGGCAGGTGCTTGGGCACGTGGCGCAGGAAGTTGCTGGACAGGATGAGGACCTCGACGCTGCCGGAGCCGTTGAACATGTTGTCCGGCAGCCCGGCGTCCGCCAGCTTGTTGTTGTGCAGGTACACAGACCTGCGGGCCGAGGCACAGGGCCTGACGCCAGCTGGCCCCCCGGCCCTGTGCCAGCTCACCTGGTGAGCCTCCAAACCCTTTCCCAGGCTGAGCCTGGGGCCCAGGGTGCTCTCGTTCCGCCCAAGCCCGAGGGTACAGGGTTAGAAGCACCTCAGATGTTGCCTACACAGCCGACAGAACTAAGGACCAGAAGGGGCTGTGCCCTACCCCGGGTGGCCATGTCAGTTAGGTGGAGAAGCAGGATTTCCCGGCCCCCCGCCGAGCCTCCTCCACACCTCTCAAAGTCTCAGGCGAGCCCTGACCGGTTCAGCCCTGGAGTCCTTGCCTGCCTCGAGGTTCCTCCATCCCTGGCTGAGTTCCTAGGACTTCCTAAAAACGGGGCCCCTCTCTGCCTGCCTCTTTGGCTCTGGTGCCAGCACAGGGTGTGCCTGAGAGGAGGTGCCCCTCATCCATTCAGCAAACAGGTAGTGAATATATTATGTAATATATGAAATATAGATATATACATATACTAGGTGTATAAATAAACACATATACGAGGTGCCGGGGCTGTTCTAGACTGAAGGCACAACGGTGGACATGGCCCTGCCCTCAGGGAGCTAACATACTAGAAGGAGGGAAGACAAGGAACAGGGGTCGTCTGTGACAGCTCAGTCTTGCTGTGAGGCCTCTCTGGTGCCTCCATCTGTGGGATGGGGCCATGCACAGTGGCCCTGGGTCCTCAGGCAGATGGAGAGAGTCGGTGAGATGGCAGACACAGGGTCAGAAGGGTGCTGGGGTTGTCCAGCCCCCGGTCTGTCCCGGAGATGGCTCCCCTGCAGCCCCCCGCCCCACCCACGCCGCCCTGCCCTCTCACACATCTGTGCTGGGGGCACTGGCTCCTCCCAACAGAGCTCAGCCAAGGGCAGTTCTGCTGTTGAAAGATGCTCCCCTCCCCCAGGGCTGGGAGAGCGGGGACACCCTCACTGGCTCCCCACAATTCCTGTAGACAACACGCTGTTCTCGCCTCCCGGCCGGAGTCATCCTCCTCCGTTAGGGCCCCTCGGTGTCCCTCCGCCACAGCCCTGAGCACCGGGCCTCCTCCGGGCCTGCCTCTGCCTCACACAGGACGGCAGCCGCCACCACAGCCCCTCCCCTTGCCCAAGCCCGAGCCCAGACCACCCCCGACCTCTGACCTCAAGTTTGGCTTCTGGCCAAAGGTGAGCCCATAGATCTTGGTGAGATAGTTGGCAGCAAAGTCCACACTGATCAGGGCGTTTGGCAGGAAGCGGGGTGCCAAGGTCAGCTGGGAAGGGAAGAGTTGGGCCGAAAGAGCAATGGAGGGGCAGAGGCCAGCTCGGGGTCCCGTTGCCTGCTGCCCACCTGGGCCCCCTCAGTGTGTCTCCTCCCAGTAACCAGGGCATCTTTCTCAAATTGAAACCTGTCCCACCCCCCTGCAAAAACAGAACCAAAACCTCTCTGGCTCTCCTCAGCACTCAGCTTGGCATTCAAGGCCCTCAGGACTTGTCCCCTGCTCCACCCGTCCTCCTGGGTTCATCTGGGGTGGATAAGGGGTAGAAGTGGGTGTAACTTTGACACCTGATCTTAGCCAAAAGGCCGAGAAGAGAATGTGACTTTAAAGTTGCGCTGGCTGATCCGAGAATGCGGGGACAAGTGAGGAGGCAGGCAGCCAGGTGAGGGATGGGGGCCAGCGTGGCGGGAGCTGGGGACCTCAGCGGGACTGGACATGGTGAGGAAGCTCAGGGCCCAGCGGCACCATTTGTGGCTTGGATCAATGGGGTTATAGGTGGCTGGAGATGCCCCTTATAGAGCTGGGAAGACAAAGGAGGATTGGATCTGGGTCTGGGGGCTGTGGGCAGGAGCTGTAGCTTCCTTCCAGTGGACATCTAGGGGAAATGTCAAGCAGGCAGCAGACCTTTGAGTCTCAAGCCCAAGGAGTAGAGAGGGTTGGAGACAGCCACTGGCCATGGCCATGATGCAGATGGGAGACAGAGTCTGGGAGGGCACAGGTCACCTCCAGAGAGTTCAGAGAGGAGGGGCTGGGACAGAGCTCTGCAGCACACCAAATATTTTGAGCTTGAGTACATTTGTGACTTCACTCATGGCATCCCTTCTACTGCCCACCCTGGGGCCCCTGCCTAGAATCCTATTACCCTTCATGGCCCTGCTCAAATGCTCTCTCCTCCAGGAAGCCCTCCAGTTATGCCTTCCCCAGTGGGGATAAGCTCTTCCTCCTCTACAGTCCTGTGAGCTTTGGCTTCTGTCTTCATTACCTGACACATTCTGATGCCCTGAGTTACAGGCATGGGGTCCATGTCCCATCCACCCCAGACCTAGGGCCATGTCTAAGCAGCAACAGGGACCCAGCAGCCAGTCCAGAAAGGCCCTGGTGAAAGTTGATGGAACTCAGGGAAGACAATGCCCGGAGGACAGGGCAGCATACCCCCCACCCTGCCTCGAGCCCCTCACCTTGTTATTGGCCAAGTACAGGTAATTGAGGTTGGTCAGATGCTCAAACGCCTTCTCTGGGAGCCCTTCAAAGGACAGGCAGCGGTCAGAGCCCTGGATGAAGGAGACGCTACAGGGAAGCACAGCAAGCCCCCACCCTCCTCTCCCACCCACCTGCCGGGACTGGGGAGGCAGAGGCAGCTCAGATCCCCACCCAAGTAGTCGGGGTGGGGGGCCTGCCCAGCCCTGTTCTTTCTCCTTGCTCACACGAGCCCAAGTTCAGAGGAACAGGCAGTTATTGTCTACTGAGGGACTCACTCCCTGCTCTGAGTGGGGATGACCCCTGGAGAGGTCAGGCCAGCGGCAGAGCACCCAGGCTGACCCTTTTCTGGCAGGAAGAAGCGCTCCCCTCGGGGAGAGCCCCAGAAGATCAGAGCCCCGTTCACAGGCAGGTGGGCCCCGCCAGGAATGACTCCACGCAGGGTGGGGCCGCGGCTCTGGGCCTCCTCACCACCTGGCTCACCCCTGCCCCATCTGGCAGATGTGTCAGGACTCAGCTGCTACTGGGAGCCTGGCCAGGCTGGCCCTTCTCCAGCCCTAAGGCTGGCCTCTGACCCTCGTTTCCGGGCTCCAAGACCCCCAGATGCGGGACCTCACCCAAGTCTCTAACAAGAGGGAACAGTTATATAAACTGGCACGTCTCTCCATGGAACGGCCTGCTGCCGCCGTGTGAGAGGATGGTCAATGAGAGGCTTTAGCAACGCGAGAGAGGCGGCTGAGCTGACTGCTAAGGAAACAAAGCAGGCTGTGATTTCTGTAGCATGCGTCCAGCCAAGAGTTTAATACACAAAGAAAAAAAGACCACTGGATTGTGATGATGGTGGCACCACTTACTAAAACTCATCCAATTTTACCTTTAAATTGGGTAAATCTCACGGTATATCAGTGATACCGCAGGAAAGCTGCTTTTTTAAAAATGGAAACAAATATACCCCAATGTCAATAGTAGTTAATTCCAAGTGGCAGAAGTATGAGAGATTTTCTCTTTCCATTTTATTTTCCAAAGTTTCTATCCTAATCAGATGTTATTTTCATCATCAGGAAAAAAAAACCAAAACACCTTTTTTAAAATGTGGGTCTACAGCTCTTGGGTTCTAAAGGCGCTTGGAACCGAAGATCCTATGACCAGGTGCTGGAAGCTCAGCTTCTCCGAAGCCTCTCCCTGCGCATCTCCCAGGTCTTAGAAACACCCGCCTTGGGCGCACAGGTGGGATCAGAAGCCGGCTGGCGAGTGAGAGGTTTTCTCTCTCTAGGGAGATTCTTCAAGCAATCACTATGTCAACAGACACAGAGGGTTCCCTTCTTTCACTTTCACATGGTGAAGATCAGCGATCCAAACTTATTTAGAAGGCTGAAGAATATTTATAAAGTTAAAAAAAAAAAAAAAAAAAAAAAAAAAAGGCTGAGGAAGCACCGTTTGTCCCCATTGGAATGGCAGGCTTTGCAGCCTTGCTGCATATGATCACACAAGTTGAAGAGCAGGGGAAATACGAAAATGTCCCTTCATTTGATCCACATGCGTGTGGCAGCCCAAGGCTTGGCTGTAGGAGCAATGACTGTTGGGATGGGCTATTCCCTATATCGGGAATTCTGGGCAAAACCTAAGCCTTAGAAGGAGAGATGTTGTCTTGATCTTGTTGGAGGAGCTTGCTTTAGTTAGATAACTTTTTTTTTTTTTCTTTTTTTTTTGAGACAGAGCCTTGCTTTGTCACCCAGGCTAGAGGGCAATGGAGCATCTCAGCTCACCACAACCTCCGCCTCCAGGTTCAAGCAATTCTCCTGCCTCAGCCTCCCAACTAGCTGGGATCACAGGCGCCCACCATCACATCCAGATAATTTTTTGTATTTTTAGTAGAAACAGGGTTTCACCATGTTGGCCAAGCTGGTCTCGAACTCTTGACCTCAGGTGATCCACCTGCTTTGGCCTCCCAAAGTGTTGGGATTACAGCCATAAGCCACCACACCTGGCCTAGTTAGACATCTTGAAACATGTCACCTGAATGCACTTGATGGTGCCGAAATGTCCACCTTCTTAAACTGTTAAGGTAAAGTTAATTCAAAAGAAGACAGCAGGCCAATCCTGAAGTACTCCCAGTTTGCTGCAGAATCTCACGTTTTTGGATGTTATATAAGGTCCTATTTGCCCCAGTTAATTTAACTTTTTTCTACCTGTCTTGTAGACTTGCTGGCTCTTTTAGAGCTCTGTCCAAAAGTGCATGGAATATAACTTGTAAAGCCTCCCACAACAGACAGTATCTATGTGTGTGTTTAAACCAGATTTAGAAAGCTTACAATACAGCATACTAATAGTATTTATTAAAGAATCACAATCGTAAACATGAGAATAACTTATGGATTCTAGTTTAGTTCTTTTGTAATTGCAGAATTATATTTTTGCTGCTGTTATATTAGAGTCATTTTAAAATGTCATCTTGAAATGGAATTGTGTCATCACTCACGCAAAGGTGAACTAACACTTCAAAAATGTGCGTGTTTCTTGTTTTTTCCATAAGAATTATAAACATTAAACTAAACAAATTACCTATAATGGAACTGATTAATGACTATGAGCCTGCTGGCTTGGCCAGATAGTATACACAAACTTTTATATACTACAGAACGTTATAACACTTGTGAAATTCTCTTGTCTAACCTGAATCTACATGCCATGGTGACAAGGTATATGTATTGTTATTAAAGTAAGCGACCACGTCAAAAAACAAAAAGAAAGAAAGAAATACCCGTGTGGTATTCAGGCAACAGTGGGGAGCCCCTTACCCGTGTGGAGCTGGTTCTCATGAGCCCAGCTGCTAGCCCGGCCCAGGCCCGCCCTCTTCCATCCACACCCCAAGATCCTCAGCGCCAAGCTCTCCCCATGGGCACCTAGCATCATTCAGGCCCCCAAGGTTCCACTTGGTGCCCCCGACCCTGAGCTCTGGGCAGCCCCTCACCTCGGGAAGCCCCCCCTTAGCGCGCCTGCCCCTTGGCTCTGGGCGGCCCCTCACCTCGGGAAGTCAGGCGGTTGTTTTGCAGGTTCAGCGTCTCCAGCCGGTGCAGCCGGGAGAGCTCCTCAGTGTAGATCTTTTCCAGCTGGTTGTTCTAGGGGGTAGGGGTAGCGAAGAAGCAGCATCAGCCTAGTGGGGTGTGCCCTGGACCTGGACTCCGGCCCTTGCCGGCAGCTCCAGTCCTAGAATCCAGTCCACCTGCTGGCACCTCCCTTGGGATTCTCGCCATGGCAGTAGACCCTGGTGCCAGCTCTAGGCCAGGCCTGGATATGGGCTCTGGGGCACCACAGTGACCACAACAGGTGTGTGGGTCCTGCCTTCAGGGAGCCACACGTGGACGTCAATGGACAGTTCAGACTCGACGTGCTCTCTCCTCCAGACCCGCTCCTGGAGCATTCCCACCTCATGACAGGCAGCCACAGCTGCTCCCCAAGCCAGAAACCACTTTTCCTTCTCTTCCTTGGCCCTGCAGTCCCCTCTCCCTTTGGAACACATGAAAAGCTGAGGCAGGGACCACCTCCTCCAGGAGCCTTCCTGGATTGGGTTGGGGCTAGATTAGGAGGCTGCTCTGGGCCCCACACACAGCCCTTCCATTGCCATCTGGCATCTATCTGTTTAGGTCTCTGCCTCGCCAACCAACTGTAAGCACCTGAAAGGCAGGGAACACCAAGCCCTGCCCACATGCCCAGCACCCACACAGGACCAGAGGCCCAGTGCAGGTGCCTGAGAGAGTTGATGTGTGGATGAAAGGGCAAAGGAGCCAACAGTGAGAGCTGCCCTCAGACTGGCCCTTTCCCTCTGTGGCTACCCTGGCCTTGGGCTCCCACGGTCGCCAGCTCAGACCCACCAGTGTGGATGACCGTCAGCAAGTCACTCTCCCGCACGGGGCCTGGTCGCCTCTGGAAACGAGTGCCGCAGCCCCTCCGTCTCCCCAGGGCTGCTGGGCTGCACAAGGTGAGGTTGGGGCACCTGCACTCCAGGGTGCTCCTGGTCTGGACACTGTCCAGCTTCTCAAGGTTCCAAATTCTAGCCTGCCCCTTGGCTGGAGACAGTGCTCCCTCCTCCGAGACCCCGGAGTATTCTTGTCAAGTCTACTTTGCTCTGGTGTTCCTGGCCCTGTAGTTGTGGCTGTGCATTCAGAGGGTCGGCTGTGGGGCAGGTCTGTGTCCACTTTCAGACAGAGCCTGGCCCGACTTACTGGGCCCAGCCCGAACTCCTCTAAGTGAGCAAAGCGGGTTTTATTGTATAATCGCAGTGCTCTGCGACTAGGACATCAGGAGGGGCGTTACCTGCTGCAGCCAGAGCCCCTGAATCTGACCTGCTCCAGCACCCCATGGCTGGGAGTGGAGAGCCACACATATTGGAGGTTCTGGGTGAACAGGTTGCTGAGAGTGTCGGGGTTCTGGGATGGGAGCCAAGGGTGTGTGGGGCAGCCCCTGTGACCACGGGTGCAGCGCCGACCTCACCTGCAGGGACAGGTGGTTGGTGTGTTCAGGCAGGTCCCCGGGGAACTCACGCAGGTCGATGCCGCCACAGTCCACGACGCCCTCCTGGGAACAGGCACATTCTCGAGGGCAACTGACCGCAGCTGGGCCAGGCACGGGCTCCTCAGGGCTCAGGACCAGCACCGGCTCCTCCTCTGCAAATTCGTTCTCTTCGGGACTCAGGCTGTGGCTGCCGCTTCGGCCAAATCCTGGGGCCCTTGCGGCAAGCACAGGTCCCAGGTGCAGCTGTGGCGGCAGCAGCAGCAGGAGCAGCAGCGCCCAGCTCTGGGCCATAGTGCCTGCAGGGGGCGCCAAGTCAGATGCACCTGGGCGCCAGGGCTGACGGAACCTGTGAGGTATAGGGGACACAGCTGGGGCCCACGAAAGTCATGATGCCCCCCCCCCCACAGCTACAAAGCAGGGCCCACTCTGGACTGTCTTCAGTGCCCAGTAGATGACTGACTGAACAGCCCTCCACACCTGCCCAACCCCACGAGGCTGCCTCCAGAGGCGGGCGACGAGGTGAAGCCCTGTCCTCGGGCAGGTCTGCAAAACCTTCTGCAGCCTTCAGCAGGCTTGGCCGCAAGGAGTCTGTACCCCTGTTTCCTAGAAGGGGAAGCCGAAGCATGACCCGGACTGTGCTGAGCCCTTGCTACCCTGGCACTGGCAGCGCGGGATGACCCTGAGCCTCCTCCAGCAGCCACAGGCCATGGTGAGCCAGCGCCGGCAGCATGCGTCCTGGCTCTCAGGTTCACCATTCGCGGGTCTTCCTGACTTGGTCCTGACTCGCTTCCAACTGTCCCCTCAACTGCCCCAGTTCTACAGGACTATTGAATAGCTCCTCCCTCCAGGCCTTTGCACGTGCTGTTCCTTCTGCCTGGGATGCCCTTCCTCTCTCTTGTGCAATCAGCATTTTCTTTTCTAGGTACCAACTCCAGGGCTGTGAACATGGGAAGAGGGGAAGCAGCGGGACTCTGAGATGCCCCAGGGCTGTCCATGACCATGTTCACCCAGAGCTTGGCATTAGTTGGGTTGGGTTTTGAATAGCAAAGGGGTCTTTTTCCCACACAGAGCTGTGAGCATCTCTCTCTCTGTGTCTGGGTATAGGTCAAGCCCAGAGCGCGGCACAGAGAAAGTATCAGTGATTACAGCTGCTGCTGCGCTCGCGGCCTCCCAAGTCCCATTCCTGATGTTTATCCCCTTAGCTGCCCTCACCAGGGCCTGATGTGCTCAGTGACCACTGCCAACCTGCCAAAGACCACTCCCCAGCATGGCCCCCAGGTGCAGCAAGGCAGGAGTACAGGGGATGATCTCAGGCCCACAGAGGAAGATGCTGGAAGATGCCATTGTCCCAGCAGTCCCGTGGCATAGGCTCAGCACTGGGTGGGTTCCTGGGTTCTCTTTACAGGAACTCAGACATCTCTGGGCTGTGATAAGATGTGCCGGTAGCTCAGGTTCACTGACTCAGGTCCCACAGATCCCAGTTTGAGTCCCACCTCTGACTTTGTTGAGCCTCAGTTTCCTTGTCTGTACAATGCAGCTAATACATCTAAATGCACAGCTTCTGTGGAGTAAGATAACAGACGCAAAGCACCTGGCGCCTATTAGGCGATGAGGAGCTGCTGTCACTTCATCACCTGATGCGTAATTATGCACAGTAACATGCTCCACTAAGTGAGCAGCAGGGACAGCAGCGAGGACCTGCTGTGGATGCCTCCGGCATGGGAGCATTCACTCCTGGGCTGAGTGGCCACAAGCCCCGGCTCAGGCTGAGCCTCCCTCCCCACCGCCATATCAGACACCGTGACCATAGAGCAGCTAGAAGGGCCTGGCAAGACCCTGGGCCTAGGAGGGTTTCATAAACTGGGGAGCTTGACAATGAAGTTAATGTCTGCAGCTAGCGGCTAGAGCTGCAATCTTGGCTCTGGCCTCAGCTCTGGCTCTTATGTGACTATAATCGTCTAAACCTCAGCTTTCTCACCCATCCTTGGGGATAACAGCACTATCCTTACGGGAAGACTGTGAGGGGTCAGTGAAATGCATGTACTGCACATAGTACGTGCTCAATAAACATTAGCTTTTCCTGCCACTAATTGTCTGTTCCGTGGGCATAATCTGCATCCCTGCCACACCACTGCCCACTCCAGAATCTCCTGCTCCTTCCCCTTCCCTTGTCTAGCTCTTGCTGGGTTTTTTTGTTTTTTGTTTTTTGTTTTGACAAGGTCTCTGTCACCCAGGCCAGAGTGCAGTGGTGCAATCATAGCTCACTGTAACCTTGAGCTCCTGGGCTTAAGTGATCCTCCAGCCTCAGCCTCTCAAGCAACTGGGACTACAGGGGTGCACCACCATGCTGGCCAAATTTTTAAACTTTGTGTCAAGATGGGGTCTCCCTATGTTGCCCAGGGTGGTCTCAAACTCCTGACCTCAAGTGATCCTCCCACCTTTGCCTCCCAAAATGCTGAGATTACAGGCATGAGTCACTTGGCCTGGCCCTTTGCTTGGGCTTTCTGACCCCATGCCAGGCCCACCTCCTCCCAGAAGATGTTACAGATATTCTACCCGCCTCTGAGTTCCTGCTACCCCGTGGCATCTGTGGCATTTCAGATCCACTTTGCCTCACTTGGTGGCTCAGCTAGTTCTCTGAATTAAGGGCCCATTTGTGCCTGGGCCTGAACTGGGCAGTGGGGACACAGGTGAGGTGGAAAAGATCCCTGTCCTTCATCTGGAGGGGGCAGTAGACCCCGGTACCAATAACTACTGCCCACCCAGACTGGGGGTGGGCAGCGTAAAAAGGGTCCCAAGGAGTTCGAGGCCCTAGAGGAGACAGGAGGGGTGGCAGCCAGGCTTGCTTGACCCTACAGATCCACATGGCATATGAAGACTCAGGTCTCAGCCACTGGCTCGCCAGGGAACCAGGGAGCCCGGCACACACGCAGTTTCCAGGCTCCAGGGATCAGTGGGCAACAGTGAGTGGCGTCCAGAGCAGCCTACCCTTATGCTCGCTCCACCACACCCCTGCTGCCCCTGGCCCCTGACCCAACATCAGTCTACAGACCGTCATTCCCACAGCGCATCATAAACTCCACAGCCAGCTCAACAGCCATCAGCCCCTTGCCCATCTGACCCCACTGTAGTCGGGGGTTCTGAGAGGGAGTGTGGGCCCAGGCCCAGTCCCCAAATTCAATCAGGGCAGAAGGCCAAGGAGAAGAATCCAGGGGAAGGAGCTCTGGCCCCACGTATCCTGTGCACTCACCAGGCAGGCTATTCTGCCTCCTTGGCTTCCGTTTTATATCTATAAAAATCTGTAAACTGCATCCATAAAAATATTTAATTTATGTTAACATTCTGCACCATATTGAAAATGTTATCATCACCACTTTACAACTCAGGGAGGGAGCCGAGGCCCAGTGGGCTCAGCCAGGGAACAGCTGGTAAGTGGCAGATCTGAGCTCTCAGCTGAGGTCATATCAACAATGCTACACTGCTCTCCCCAAGGCCAAGCATGACAGGGAGCTGGGGACCCACACAGAAGACTCGGCATGGCTTCTGCCCTTCAGAGGCCCACAGCTGCACTGTCCACTCCATTAGCCACTTGCCACATGTGGCCATTGGGCACTTGAAATGTGGCTGGTCCACATAGAGATGTAAGTGTAAAATGTAGTGTACATGGATTTCAAAGATGTTGTGCAAAAAAGAACGTAAGATACCTCGTTAATATTGATGACATCAAATCCCACTGATTGTTACAGTGATTGCACGATAATATTTTGAATAGGTTAAATAAATTTTACCAGTTTCATTTTACTCGTTAAAATATGGCTTCTGGCTAGATAAGGTGGCTTATGCCTGTAATCCTAGCACTTTGGGAGGCTGAGACAGGCAGATCGCTAGAGCCCAGGAGCTTGACAGCAGCCTGGGCAAGATGGCAAAACCTCATCTCTACAAAACATACAAAAAATTAGCCAGGTGAGGTGGCGTACACCTGTAGTTTCAGCTACTCTGGAGGCTGAGGTGGGAGGATCACCTGAACCCAGGAGGTTGAGGATGCAGTGAGCTGTGATCACATCCCTGCACTCTAGCCTGGGTAACAGAGTGAGACTCTGCCTCAAAAAAAAGAAAAAAAGCTTCTAGAAAATGTTGTATTGCATATGTGGCTTGCATTTGTGGCTCACATTGTATTTCTATTAAACAGCACTGGTCTGCAGCATTACGTGTAAGCTGAGTATTATAATCCCATTCTAAGGGATAACTTTCAGGCAAAAGGGAAAGGGTCACACAAGCAAGGGAGTTGGTATGTGCAAAGGCCCAGAGGCAAGACAGTCCACACTCACAAGACCGTCTGGTGGGGGATAGGGACTGGGAGTGACACAAACAGGCACCGTAGCCACCAGCCCAGGCCACGTGAAGGCCAGGTTAGGCAGTGTGGGCCTTCTCATTGGACGACAAGGACCACTGAAGGGCAGGAGCGTGACACAGGCAAGTTTGTGGGTGGACATGAGGCTGTGCAATGGGGACAGGTGAGGGCGAAGGGGCCGGACCCTGGCAGAGAGAGAGGTGCTGGACTACAGGGATGGAGAGGGGAAACTGGAGTAAACGGAGAGGTAGGAAGGACAGACGGGGCTTGGAGAGTGGTCCCTCCAGCTTGGCAAGCCGCTCTCAGGACTGAGAGGTCCTGGGCAGGTCCAGCCCTACTACCTGGTTTGCTGTGTGACCTTGGCCATACCACTGACCCATCTGAGTCTCAGTTTTCCCACTTGTTCATTTCTTTTTTTTTTTTTAAGTCAGGGTCTCACTCTGTTACCCAGGCTGGAGTGCAATAGCACAAGCATGGCTCACTGCAGCCTTGGGCTCCTGGGCTTAAGTGATCCTCCCACCTCAGCCTCCAAAGTAGCTGGTATTATAGGCATGTGCCACCATACCTGGCACCTGGCTAATGTTTTATTTTTAGAAATGGGGTCTCACTATGTTGCCCAGGCTGTTCTTGAACTTTTGGCCTCCTGCCTCAGCCTCCCAGAGTGCTGGGATTATAGATGTGAGCCACTGTACCCAGCCCTGTTATTCTAAGAATGGAGCAAGATAAGCCCACCACCCCCGCCAGCCTGGTGAGGCCCCCTCTCTGTTCCCAGTCATGTGGAAGGTGTGTGGGGAAGAACAGGGGAGCTCCCTGGTCTCCAGGAGTTTCAAGTGCACCCTGTAAGGAACAACTCAAACCCCTGGACAGCGGGGCAGCTCAGCCAGCAGTGTGACGTGCACTCCTCATGTGAAGTGCTTTAGAGACAGAAGGGCATGGGTTCCGATTCTGACTGCTGTGTAAGCCCGGACGAGTCACTTTCTGCTCCAAGACTCTGTTTACTAGTCTAAGAAATGGAGTTGGGAGCTACTTGTGGGAATTAAATGAAATAGCAGGCCCAGCTGTCACCGCTGGGTAACAAGTAAGTGTGACATACCCCGGGTTACTTCTACCGTTACTGAGAAAGTAAGGCGGACCCACTGTCTCCCCCGACCTCCACCAGGGAACCAAACCTCAAGGCCCGAAGAGTGAGACGAAGGTGGCACTAGAAGAAGGAAGGGGAAGGGAGACCCAAATCAAGAGGCGGATCCTCAGGCCCTAGCACTGCCTTCCTTCTCCACTCAAACTCAGTGCAAACCAACTGGCCACCTGCTCTGTGCTGGGCTCCAAACAACTGCATCTTATCAACTGTCATAGAACTCCTGGGACTAAGTGTTCGTCTTCCTGTTTGCAGATTTGGAGCTCAAGCACAAAGGGCTGGCATTGCTGCCATCCCTAGAAAGCTCCTACTCCAATTCCCCTGCTCAAGGACGACTCTCCTGCCCCCTTGGCTGGGTTAGGGTGTTTCTGGGTGCTTCCACAGCAACCTTGCCCAGCTTTAACCTTCAAGGCTCAGCTGAACCTGCGCCATCTCCGCAAGCATGGAGTGGGTGCTCAGGAAATGTTTGCTGAATGAATGGCTATGAAAGGCAGAGTGGGAAAAGATCTAAAGATCTGCAATACGATCTGCTCTGACTCCTCCAGTTTGCAAATTAGTGTGTTAAAGGCAAGGCCAAGAGTAAAAGCCTGCCCAGAGCCTTGAGTCGGTCTTGAAGACTGAGCAGGAGTTCTCCAAATGGACAAAGGGGGAGAAACAGCCCTCCAGGCAGAGGTAGGGTGTGCCCAAAAGGCAGGGGTGGGGCTGGAGGAAAGGAAGGTGTGTTTAAGGAAGGGTCAACAGGGTGGCAGGCCTAGGTGGCCAAGGGCATCCACCACCATGCTGGTGTTGATGACAGGGACTCATTGAGAGTTCCAAGCAGGTCACAGTCAGCACTCTCATATATGACTCCACCAAGCCTACAAGTGCCACCATTAGTAATCCCCTCCCCTAGAGTCAGGCAGAAGGGATAAAGTATGCTCCGACAGATGACATGAACACAGTCGTATGACTCTGACACTTCTTAACTTGCCCTCTAGGCTGGAGGAGACTGGGTCCTGGGCCCTAAGAGTGGACATGAGGAAGCAGAACTCCCAGACCAGTCTGCACTGTTCTTTCCCAGGGCTGTCCACGGGCTCTTCTTAGTGACCTGCCCCGCCGGAGCGCTGTGCACCTGCAGACCGGTTGGCCTCCTTGCTCACCATGAGCCCTCCTGCCTCTCCGCTACCTTCCCAGTGTGGAAGCTTTCTATATAAGAAAGGGATAGGGGACAGGAACAGCCAGGGGCTCTCCCGGTTCACACCAGTGGTGGTGCCTCTTGGAGCAGGGTAGACCACAGCTTCCCCTTCCCTAGCCAGCCGGTATTCCAAGGGCAGACTTCGAAGCTCAGGTCGTGTGGGCCCGACAGGTCCCTAAATTCACTCGAGGCGCTGGGCGCGCATCCTCCGCGCCTGCCGGACGGGGTCAGTGAGTGACGCACGCACCCGGGCCAGGGCGCTCGCCCCTTGCGGCCGAGCCGGCTCCTTTCCAGAAGGCTGCGGCTGCCTCTCCTAGCCCCAGCCCCGAGGCTGCCAGGAGCCTCGCCGCCCCCCGCCTGACGGCGCGTCAGGTATTCAACGCCACGATCTCGTCCCCCGCCCCTGGCCGGGCTGTGACTCGGACACCTGCAACCTGGGGCTTCCGCTGCATTCGCAGGAAGGCGCTGACCTAGCTCCTCGTGGTTCGCGGACCCCCACCCCCTCCTCCGTCCAGTTGTCCCGGCTGGGAAGCAGCCGCGTAGACAGACGGACTCCAGGCCGCCAGCTGAGAGATTTGGCTCAACTAGTGGTTGGCGCTAAACTGGGGCGGCACTGTGGCCGGGGAAGCCGAGGACCGGAGGGGACTCCGCAGCCGCGACGCGCCCTGGAGGCAAACTTCTGCCCTTCTCCGGGCCTCAGTTTCTCTATCTGTAAAGAGATCGGAAGCTGGACTCGCTAGGGGGCCGGATGAGTTGACGTGGAAAGACGTGGAGATACGCCGGGTCGGAGCACTCAGGACTGGGGTCCCCGACCCTGCACAGTTCCACCTGCCCCCCACATTCCCTGTCGCCCGCGGCGTCCTCCTACTCCAGCCCCCGCCCCCATCCGCCCTCAGATTCTTTCCAGATGTGCGCAGCGGGAGGGGCCTGGGGACCGGGACCAGCCTCCGCTCAGAGGGGAAGGCCCCTGCCTAGGTCGTGACTGCGCAGGGGTCGCACCCCAGAGGAGGAGATCTGCTGCTGTGCCTTCAGTGCAGGATCCTATAGAGCTGGTGAGATGCGGCGGCCCCGCCCCAGGCAGCTGCTGGAGCCATCCGGAGAGGCGGGGAAGTCTGAGGGCGCTGCCGGGTCTCAGCCCCCGGCCCCTCGGCCCACCCCGGCCGCCCGCACCCTGTACCTGCTGCGCCCCGGCGCCGTGCCGCGCCCCGCAGGCCGAACGCGCTCCCCTAGTCTCAGCTGCGCTCCGCGGGCTCGGGCTCCTTCCATTCAAGTCAAGCAGGGCGCTCCGCGACGCTAGTTTTGTTGTGGGTTTTCTCCTCCCCGCCTCTCTCCCGCCCCCTCCCCCACTTCCCACCCCCCCGCGAGCATCTGCTGGACGCCGGCCTCCTCCGGACACAGGCGTAGGGTCCCCCCAGGCGCGGGCAGGAGAGGGCCTGCCCCCTCCCAGCGCGGGACTTGGCCGGGCCCCACTTCCCGGGAGGCAGAGCCGCCGCACCGACCCTTCTCAGCCCCGGCCGCCGCACCACGCCCCCGAACCCCCACCCGGGAGTCCGGGAAGGCGGGCTGTCTGGTCCACGACGCTTCCTAGTTCCCAGCCTTCCACACTGGAACTGGACCCCCTTTAGGCCCCGACACCTGAAAGGAGGGCCAGGAAGAGGGGTCCTTCCACCCAGTGCCTCTGAGCTGTATCTTCCCCATTAAGGAGGATGTGCTCCAGGCATGAGTACCTTTCCGTTCACTCCCCCACCCTGGGGTCCTGGGCCGTGGCTAACGGGGCCGCCAGCCAAGACCCTGCTGGGCCTCTTCCCGGAAAAGTTCCCCACGCTCCACCCCACCCTCCACTCCCATCCCTGTTGGCCCTGGGCCCACAGCCTGGTGAGGCTTGAAGAATGGTAAATTGGGCCGGAGTCGGGGGCATGCAGATCCCAGTCACAGAGAAACAGGGCGGGTGAACAGTGAGCCCTCACGCCACCATATTGCTCCCAGGAGCGGAAAATGTTTCCAAGTAAAGGAGCATTAACTACTACCAGCTGAAGCAACACTGTTTGGCGCCAGGGGCTTCGGCGGTGGAACCGGGAATGGGGCTGGGCTTAGGTGGTACTTGGCACTTCCACTGTGTAGCAGGCCTCTTCCCCTTACCTGCTCTGGCCGTGGGCAGGGTACCCACAGCTGCCTCACCTGGCTGCCCTTCCACTGGAGAGGGAGAAGGATGTAAGTCACAGGTGGGCCCCCTTGCTCAACCTAAACCTGAATGAATGAACGGATGAATGACCCCTCTAAAGCAGCTCCAGGACCTTTCACGGGCTGCACCCCCATGGCAGCCTGGTTATACCACATGCGTTATGCTCTGCCTTCACAACTCTGCAAAGGAAGAACTGCTGCTGCCTCACTTCATAGAAAAGAGCCTCCGAAAGGAAACGTGACTGAGTAAAACGGCCATCAACTTGCAGAGCTGGGTTTTGAACCCAGGTTTACGCCCTCTCCACAGCCCAAGTTCTTCCCATGGTGCAAACAGGCAGGTAACTTGAGCAGGCAAATGTAGAGCCGGATTTGAACCTAGGACTTTCTGTTTCCATTATGCCAATAACTCAAGAACTTAGCAAGAATAGGGAGGGGAAATATTTTGCCTTCTTTGGCCTCAAATTCCAGTCCTTTCAGAGCTCAAACTTAACAAGAATTGGTATGATTCACAGCATTGGACCTGGACCAACACAGAGATGCATCTCATGTCTTCTCCTGAACATTGAGCCTAGATTCAAGTAGAGCTAAAAGGACAGGATTCTGCTAACTTGAATACCCACGAACTAAAACCCTTCTAGGACAATGAGAGCCAGAGCATACTGAGTGCCTAATACGTGACAGGCACCACCTTAAATCCTTAAAATATCTTATTCATATTAACCTTGTGGGGAAGATACTCTCTATACCTATAACTGCTAGGGCCAGGGTGTTCCAGGGGCCAGCTACATGGCACACCATACACCCAGTCCCCACCACCTCCCAGAGAAACAGGCTGTTCTGTGGAATGCTCAGCCAATGCCCATATGTGCTTTGTGGTTGGCACAGCTGCAGGAGGAATCACTTTGAGTGTCTCTGGGGGAAAACTGGAGGCAATCTTGGTGCTCTAGAAGCAAATCTTCTTTCAGAAGTATTGTAAAGGCAAAGTTTGAAAGTGAGGTTTCCTGAATCTACCTGTGCTGCTTCAGTCCCTTCATGCTGCTCCTCCATTTCAGCTCCCGTTTGATATTACCGAACTACACAGTGTCAAGTACAAGCTTTAAAGTTGGAGCTCGGTTCAAATCCTAGCTAGGTTCAAATGAATAGAAAAATACTACCTACACCTCCCAGTGTGGCCAGATTGGAAAATGCAAGTACAGAACTTTACATAGTACCTGGCACATGGTAAGTGCTCAATAAATTGTAGCTATTACTACAAAACTATCACCCAGACCTGACCAAATAGCCAGGAAAAATTATTAAACTAGAAATGACAAGTGGCAAGAATTAAACAGAAACCTCTGCACTGCCCAGGACAAGTGCCTTCTAATTCAAAACAATAAGAAACAAGAACATTCCAAAGAGGAGGGAGGAAAGACATCCATACAGTAGAGAGAGCTAGGAGTAAAGACCAAGAAGGCTCTCGGTGGGGGTTGATGATGAAAAATGGGAGGCAAGGAGCAATTAGCTCTTGTTATACCTCATCATCAGAGAAGAAAATAATTCCTCCTACCTTGAGCTGTGGGCTGAAGACCTTATTAAGCAGTAGAGTCCCAAATACTGAGCCACAGCAGCAGCTTGATTTTCTGGACATTTAAGGAATCAAATCACATGGTGGTGTTTGGGGCATATGAATTCCATCTGAAAGATCTTGATGAAAGGCAAGATTCATTAGGGAACAAGAAGAGAATAATGAAAAAAACCTCCAAGTCAATTACACAAGGAGTCTCCAGTCAAGTACACAGGAGTCTCCTGGGCTCCTACATCTCGTACCGACTCTTTATTAATACAGAATTTCTTGCTGTATTGTGTTTTTCCTCCTTCTTCCACTGGATTGTGAGTCCTCCAAGGCAAGCATCTCATGTTATGTAAGCTCCCCTCTCTCACCCTAAAATACCTAAAATACTGTGATAGGCAGAATGCCGCCCCCCCCCCAACCAAAGATATCCATACCTTAATCCCTAAAACCTTGAATATATTACATGATGAAAGGGACTTTGCAGATGTAATTAAGGTTATGGACTTCAAAATAGGGAGTTTATTCTGGACTATCTCAGTGGGCCTAATCTAATCACATGAGCCCCACAAAACAGAGAACTTTCTCTAGCTGGAGGGAGGGGAAATGAAGCAGAAGAGGTCAGAGAGATCTGAAACATGAGAAGGACTTGACTAACTTTAAAGAGGAAGGGGGTCATAAGCTAGGGAATAAGGCAGCCCCCAGAAGGTGAAACACCCCTAGGCTGCCAGGAAGGGAACAGGGACTTCAGTCCTACAAGCTGCATGAAACTGAATTCTCCCAGGATCTGAATGAACGTGGGAGCCTCCAGATAGGAAACCAGGGCAGAAACATCTCGACTTCAGCCTTGTGAGACCCAGAGCAAAGAAACCAGTCAAACCCAACCAGACTTCTAGGTTACAGAACTGTGGGATGATAAATTTGTGATCACTACTTTGTGATCATTTGTTTCAGCAACAATAGAAAATGAATACAAACATTAATAACTAAAACTGGCACAGCACTTTCCCACACACTGTTTCACTTGATCTTCACATCAAGCCTGATGGTATTATTGCCCACTCATTTTGGAAAAGGGATGCTCAGGGAGGATTTACAACCTGCTCAGGTGACTCAGCTAATGAGTGCTTGGGTCGGAATTCAAACTCAGTGTTCAGGTTCTAACTCCAGTAAGAGTTGTCTCCCACACTGTAGCCAGCCAACTAGCTATTACCTTAAGGTAAATTAAAAAGGTTGAAAAAAAGACAAAAAACAAACTCAGACTGCTTTCATACTACATAAACTTGAAGATTTTGAATACTCATTTCTTTGGAAGATGGTTTCTTCCAAAGGTATGTCATGTTTCTTCTAAAGTAAGTTATGAATCAGTCAGGGTAGAAACAAGTGAAAAGACCTTAAGTCCTCTTTCTAGCATATAGAAGGAAGAAAGGCTTTGATCAACTGCAAAAGGAGAAATCCTCAAGAGTGGCTGTCAATGAAATACCGCTTTCTCCTGTTCAGATGATCTTTCAGCCACTATTAAGGTACATCTCCCACAATGAAATGCCCTGTTTTTGCCAGCTGAGTCTAGAAACATCTCTGTGGTTGGAGCTTCTAGTAGCCTCATGACAGATTTTTATTGTCTGGAAATTCAATCGTATTCAGTCTGAAATTTCTCTTTCTATATTTCTTCCCCTTACTTCTAATAACTAAGCAGAATAATTCCTTTCCCTCTTTGGTCTTTCCATCTCTCAAATATTCATGAACTGATATCACACCCTGCCTTTGGGGTATCATTTTGCCAAACTTAAGGCTTCTTTCAGCCTGCATAAGTCAGTTGTTCCTATACTACTGTGCCTTCATATCAAATTATTTTCTATTTCTGTTCTAGTGTCTAGAGTGGTAGAGTGCTCTGTAGACAACAGAAGGTGCCATATTCCAAAAGGCAAATTACACAATAACTTCCACAGAAAGGAAGAAACATCACTGTTTGGTAGTTGGTTAGACAACTACCTGCAATTTAAATAAACAGCAGACTATAATCAGTTTCCCCCAATTCTACGTAAAGGTTTATGGCCACAAATTCAGAAACAAAAAGATCAAGCACTTACTACATGCTGCTGGAAACAGTACTGTGAATACTTGCAGCAAAGTGTTTTAATGACCTTTAATAGAACAGATAGACCAAATGCACATCCCTTTTTGCAATAAGTTTTGGTTATATTTTTTAAAAATTATTTCCCCTAGAAGTCTGGCTAAAATTCCTTACCAAATTAAACTTCCAGCCAAATGGAATCAGACTCCACATTTCTTAAGGGCCAGAAATCTGGCCCAATATTCTTTGTTCTTACCAAGAACTAAAGAGCTATTTGTTTGCAGCAGTCTCCAGATAGATATGGTACTAGACTGTTCCAGAAGATTTTGTAACTCCCTATTGAGAAAAACTCTAAAATTTGGCCAGATGTGGCTATAGTTCCTAATAGCTCATAAATCTTTCAGGCCCCTCATTAGATGCTAGTACCATACCCAACATTCCTCATTCCTGTCAGTGTGGTCTCTAAACAAACTGAATCCTGCAGGGTAATTTGCCCAGAGGTACAATCTGGCTGTACCGTTTTTTGTTTTGTTTTGTTTTGTTTTGTTTTTTCTAGTCAATAACATCAGGTAACTTCTCTGTGTTCAAAAAGCAATCATGGCATGGGCAGCTAGAAT